AGGGCAAAAATTCCCTGACCGAACAATGGTGGCTCATGTGTCTACAAAAATTTTATTTGACAACATGGATGCAGTGACAGAAATTGCATAAAACAGCACCTCACCGCGTTCACTGGTTGAGTGCCCAACCAAAAATTAGGTACATTTAATTTCTTGTTCAAAGCTTGATGCAGTTTTAGTGTGCAACATGCTCATTGATCAGTCCGTCATATGTACTTATAGACGTCAATTGACAGTCAACAAATGAACAGTGTCTCCAACCTGAGACCCAAGCCTGGTTGGAGCTTCATTTGAAAAGAAAATGAGTGACATAGGTACATAAACCACACTAAAACGCCAGCCATATCTGCACTGATATTTCCCATAATCACTCACCATACCAGTAGGTAAGGATGAAAGCCATGTCCAACAATCCATATCATTTCACTGTTTGACTTCTTATTATTAATATTCTTAACACCACAGCAGCTCCTTATACTGCACACGCAACACTTATACGCCACAGCTCAGCTCCTTCACAACGCACACGTCCTGTCCCTTCTCTGACTTGGCACAGACTGAACACATCATGGCGGGCGCAGAGGGGCGCACAAAATGGCGATTTTTTCAATTAACTAAGATCTTTGTAATGCTACAACAAAAAGGGTAGTAAGAAAACTAAGATTGTGAGTTAAAACATGCGTTTAATTTGTTAGTTAACACGTTACCCAGAAAAAAAGGCAAAGGAAGCATAAACAAACATGTTTGTCAAATAACACGGCATGGTTTGCACGGATAATATTTGTCGGCTTATAATGATGTTAGCTTTTCTGCTTCGATGAAATGGATGTGGTGTTAGGTTGCAAACAAATGTGTTATCTGACCCGTTTTTTGCAACAACGTGTGTTTTAATACTAGATTTTGCTTGAAGAATTAACTAACTGGTTTGTTAGCATTTTTTACAGTGCAAGCTACGGCTTGTAGTGGTGTATGAAGTATAATTTGTTGGTGAACAAAATCATTACTGATATATAGAGCTGTGCCGCCGTGACGGCGCTCACCATCAGTCTCGTCATGGCGGTATAGCGAATAATTGAACAGTGAAAAGTTGTAAGGGTCTGTTGGGAGAAGCCAAGTTTCTTGTAAGGCTATAACGATCGGGGCTAAGAGTAGGAAGAACATCTTGCTTTCGGCCCAGTTAGAGACTAGGCCTCGGCAGTTCCACTGGAGTAGAGTACTTATTGTTTCTTGGAAAGTGAGCTTTGGTTTGTCGTACCACGACGGGGCGAAGCCCAACTAGCTGATCGGTTGTGGCCCATAGACACTCGAACCGTTGGTCGTGACGTGCGAGGGGTGGGTGCTCGTCCATCCTCTGATGGAGGCTGAGGGCGGGGTCCTTTTGACCGCTGGACTCTCATCCAGCCTGCGGTGGAGCGACCAGCTCCGGTAGAGGGCTTTGGCTGCTGAGCGATCTCCTGGGAGACCTCAGGCTGCGAGTCTGGAGGAGAGGAGGGTATCGGGTCACCGAAAATGGTTTCGGTCGCGTTGTTGGTGCTGGTGGACGCAGACGTGGACGTGGTCAGAGGCTTCAGACACTGGAGAGGGGGTAGTGCTGCGATGGGGTCCGTCTGGGTACTGCAGGAAGCAGTCTGGGTGGTGGCGGCCTTGGCATACGACCGGCCAGGAGCCGGAGTGGCTGTCTCTGCTTCTACGCGGCGGCGGGCATCTGGATAGGAGCAGCCGGTTTTTGCTTTTACCTCACAGATACGTTTTTCTTTTTGCCACGTGGGGCACTGAGAGGAAGAGACTGAATGTTCCGAGCTACCACAGCTGAGACAAGTAATTGGTTTGGTGCAAGCAGAGTCCGCATGAGGGGCTTCACCACACTTCTGGCAGCGGGCAGCCTGACGGCAGGCGGCACTGCCGTGACCGAATCGTTGACATTTGAAACAGCGGAGCGGATTGGGAATGAAAACTCGGACGTCTTTCTTGAGCCAGCCGATGGCGATCTTCTCGGGCAGGGTGGTGGAGTCGAAAGTCAGAACGAGCAAACTAGTGTCCCGTCGCTGACCATCGCGGAAGGTAGTCAGCCGTCTGACGTGCGTGACTCCCTCTCCTCTCAGGTCTGACTGGATCTCATCCTCGGTCATGTGGCGGATCTCGGGGGCAAAAATCGTGCCTTTGCAAGAGTTGCGACTCTGGTGGAGAGAGACCGTCACCTGTTTGCCACAGAACGTGGTTGTCTTCAGGAGTGCTTTGGTGTCCCTTCGATTGTGAGTTTTGATCACGAGAGTGCCGTTAGCTGGAGCTTCGATGTCGGGGCCATGCTGGCCACAGATAGCAGCGATCTGCTTCTGAGGCCAGAAAACGTTAATCTTCCGGAAAGAGAAGTCGCTATCGGTAGCCTTAACAACCAGAAAGGAGCCGTCGAGAGACAAGTACGGTTCGAGTGGAGAGCGATCAACCGAATCACAGGCAGGTGCGTTGGCCAAGTTCGTGCGCGGGTCAGAGCTCCGGGAGTGGTCGGTGGACGGGCGAGGGTCATGGCTCCGGGCGAGGTCGGTAGACGAGCGAGGGTCAGAGTGCCGGGCGGGGTCAGAGGTCAGGTCAGCGGTCGGGGCGTGGTCAGTGGACGAGCGAGGGTCGGTACCGGGTAGATCAGTCGAAGGGTGGGTAGAGGAGGGAGGGCTGACGGTCGGGCGGGAGTCGGTATCCATGGCAGAAGGAGGAGTCGGATTCAGAGGGGAGTCAGAGTCGGAATCGGATAAGGAGTCGGATAGCGGGCGCTGACGGCGCCGCTTCCCCATCGTGGGGCAACTGGATGCGGTTGTGGGCAGTGAAGGAGAGTGGGTGGAACAACTGGTGAAAGGTTGGATGTGAGGGGTGGGGACGCGCGTAGGAGAGCTCTCTAAACAAACCCGTGAAATGCCAACTGCCGAAGCAAGTTAACGATCACCTTAACCTGTGTCCTTCGGAACGAGAATCTCAGACTATATTTATAACCGGGTGAGGAGTTACTCTTTCCGTTCGCGGCCTTGCGGCGCCCTGTAGTGTGCACGACCAACGTATGACACGGTAATCAGTCTAGATATCATCATGATATAGTTGGCCACTCTACGCTATGCACGCTTTTGCCTTAGCTCCAAACATGCACCAGCCATTCGTGAAAAACAGGTCCCGATTTTACCAACTTTAGTTTGCGCCATCTATCGGTAGGATTTGAAGCTAAAAACACGGGGTGTCACTCCAGGATAATGACACCCCAGAGGGGTTTCAACGGGGGTGTCTCAGCGACACTCCAATTTTTTGGCCTGCAATTTTTGGGGAGTTCGCTAGCCGAACCTCTCCCAAGGGGGTCATGTACATTTTTGCGGCGTCAAAAGGTAATGGGGCTCCCGTGTCGGGTGTCACAACACCCATGACATCCTAAAATCATGAAAACGGAGCCTAATTTAGGAGTATTTTGGAGTATGTGGTGTCAGATTGTAAGAAATGGGGTTCCCCGATTTTTTTCAGTGTGCCGGGATATCACTGTGAAACTGCGATACTGATTGATTCAATACACCATCGCCCGATTTGAGAAAGAGGGAAAGAAGTGGTGGTGCCCGTTTCAGAAAATATTTGTCTAATGCAGGGGTGTAATTTTATACCTCCTTGTGGGGGCAGATATGGCAGATGCACCCACAAACCTAAATTATGCCCCCATAATGATGAAAATGCACCCACAGGCCACAAGTCTTTTACAAGCGTCCTTTCGAGAGCACGGCGCTCTTCGCATGCTCTACCGGCGTCCTGACCGTCTCGCGTTCCTGGATAATATGAGCGTTTTTAATCACTCGGCGGCGCCGAGTGATTAAAGTGATCAAAGTGATTAAAGTGATTAAAGGGCACCCAGAAGAGCGCCGAGTCGGCGCCCTTCTGGGAAAATGGCGCCCTTTTCACAGCACTGCGCCATTCTCATGGTTTAACGGCGCCCTATTGACCGTTTCGCCCGCGCCCTTATGTCTCTGTCGTCCACCGTGCATCCCTCGTCTGTTTGGAGCCCTTCTGGCCTCTTAGCGCCCCTGGACCACATAGCAACCAACAGGGGTGCCGATGCAAAGGCAATACCGTGCATCTACAACTACATCCACATCTATCACAACTTTGGGATATAGCAACCTTTACATTTGCCAGCACAATCATTAATTTGCTGGCCGTGATCTTTTAGAGCAATTGTCACTGCTGCGCCGTTGTTGAAAAAGTTATTTTATTTAGCGCGATTCACATCGACTATCCAGTATTCAATTTTCTTGGAAAGTAGGTATACCAAAATTGAATTGATTATGCATTTTTTAAGAGCCTTTGTTCATGCCTGTTATGAAAAATATATTTTTGACAAATCGTTCTTTTTCTCTACGTTTGGGTATGGTTATCACCAAGTTATCACCACAGCTTGGTACAAGTTGAACTATCATTGGGCCTGTTCCAGCGCCTCCAGTAGAAATTCTTGACTGGAGGCTCTACCAGAGGTTTCACTGGAGGCGCTGGAACGCAATCTGGAGATTTCTGGAGATTGGCATCACAGATATCAAAAGTATGACGATTGTTCTCTCTTTAAACGCAAAATTTGTTTTCAATTTTATTAAGAAAGATTAACAAAATTATAGCAATGTAATTTTCTTCACATTCAAGTTGTAAAACAACCAGTCAAAAGTCCTTTGTTTACATTCGTGATTGTCACATGTGCGCCATAATTGTAGACCACAGCCTCCAGAGAAATTTGGACCTCCCAACTCTCTGGAGGCTACTGGAGGTTTCTGGAGCTTTGGCGAGAGCTTTCTGGAGCTTTCTGGAGGCGCTGGAACGCTCTCTGGAGGATTCTAGAGCTTTCTGGAGCTTTCTGGAGGTTTCTGGAGGCGCTGGAACAGGCCCATTGATAGGTGGCGAAACATTTCACTCTTGCACTTAAGTGTCATGTGAACCAGCCTTATATGCCTTATAATGCAGTCATATGGAATGATTGGTTGTATCGGTTTAATTTGAATTCACTTGTATTTTATGCGACTAGGTACTAAACGCCTGGATTTTCATTGAGGGAAGGTAACTCATACATATAACTTCCGGTAAAAGTATACATAAGGTCCGAGTGCCTGTTAAAAGATAAAGTTTTCAAATTCTTACATTATTTCATATTTGACATCCTGAATCCAAAAATGATACTTACATGTACTGGAAACGTGGAAAAAACACCAAATCACCAACCCATTTCACTACAATACCACCCGGCTGCATTAACACGCGACGAATGAAAAACGTGGGCGTTGTAGCGCTGCCATATGTGGATTGCTGCCATTTCAGGGGAAATTTTAGGAACAGGGGTTTTGGGTGGGGAAAAAGAAAACGATACGAATGGTGTGATGAAAGTGACGTCATAATTACAAAAAAGGAACCTAACCTAACCTAACCTAACCTAACCTAACCTAACCTAACCTAACCTAACCTAACCTAACCTAACCAGACCTAACCTAACCTAACCTAACCTAACCTAACCTAACCAAACCTAACCTAACCTAACCTAACCTAACCTAACCTACTGATGTTTGCCTACCGGGGATAAGGAAAAAGTTACTTGCAGGAATAGATTGCAGGCAAGAGTAAATCAAATATTTTTAGGTTAAGTGGTCATGCATCAGGGCCTGAAGCCAGATACATAACCACTTAACCTAAAAATATTTGATTTACTCTTGCCTGTAATCTCTCCTAAGGCATTGCCTTCGGCACTGCGCTGCTTCGCCGCGAGAAGTATTATGACGTCATTATTCACAGTTGAATAGCAACTGTTAGATATCATCCTTGATTTACTTGACCTTGGCCAGCTTTGCGCAAGTAATTGCCGCCCGGCACATTGCGCTAGTGTGGAGTTGGTGTGGAGTGCGTTAGAGATTTGCGGTACCTGTAAGTATTTCATAGGTGCTTTGATATTTGGTTCCAGAAGGAATAACTATCAGATATGAAATGAGGAGGTCAAAATACATCGTATAGTATGCTTTTCATAATCGGTTCGCCACTCGGACCTTATATATACTAATACCTAACTTCCTATGAGATAACTTTAAGTTCTTACAGCCCATGGGATTGGGTCTTCTGGAAAGCCTTCATTTGTACGCATCACTCAGTTCAAGTTCAGCTCAGTAACAGGATTTCAACTGCCAGGCACCTTGAGATTTAGATTGCCATCATTGATCATTTCAATTTGAATTTTGTGTCACATTGACCTTTATCAGACCTTGGCACCCACCATAATTCAGGGGACAAACATCATTTCATGTAATAACATTTTTCTGATCACAAAAGCCTTGAAATGCATGGAATGCGTTAAAGGGACCCTTTCCTTCAAAAAAGTTAATGAATTGGCATGAAAGTGATGTCGCTCGGTTCAGGAAGACCAAAAACGAATATCTACCAAATATCACCGAAAAATATTCACCGGTTTTCAAGATATTGGGCTTTTACTTTTGTTTACTTTTTTGGGATCTCCGCTGTTCCTAGCGACTTTATTTTGGAAGTGTGGCGTTTGCGGCAGATGTTGCGTGCAAATAGCATATACCACCACTGCTTCACAAAGATGTTAGCATAAGGTTTTAAAATCGTTAGATCACCGCTGACATCACAAATTCTAAGGGGGCATCCCAATGCTTTAGCCCCTTAGAATCCGAAAACTGCAAGTTTGAAATTCCATATCTCTGAATTAAAGCATGTTTCGATGTTGTGAGTGCTCAAACCGGTATTTGCAGGCCATGGCCACCAATTTGGCTATCTCAACTCAAAACTAATGTTAAGATGGTCACTTAAACATATGTACAGTCTGTCTTAACTCTTAAAAGTAGGTACTGCGCAAAATGACGTTGGATCCATCAAGCCTTACCGAGGAAGGGCCTGTTTTGATTTGAAAGTCACCAAACCAATTGACCTGGGGAATGGACGAGAATGTCAATTGCTTCGGTGACTCAGATTTAGCAGGCCCTTCCTGGGTCAGGCTTGATGGATCCACCGTCACTTTGCGCGGTACTTTTAAGACAGACTGTACAACGAATCACCGTTTTTGCTTCGACATGGTCTCGAGAAACTGGTCAAAGGTCATTTGGGTCTCATGGGTCGTGATTTTTTTTTAGGGTACTTATAAGATCGATTGACTCGAGGGTACTACTTCCATTTCACCGGCACACTTTACGATGTTCGGAGTGTTGTTTTGAGCGACTGCTGTCGTCTGCCAGGCAGCCATGTCTTCCCTGGAGAAGCTGGTGCGTGCGCTGGAGCTGCTGCGCACCTCCGATTCGGCGGCGGGAGGCGCCACCACCCCCAGCTCGCCGGTGGAGGCCTCCCTGCGCTCCAGTCTGGCCGACCTGAAGCCGACCTCTCTGCTCTTCAGGTGAGCCGCAGCCGCAGCCGCTGTTGGGGAGTGGGCGCTGTGGACAAAATCCAGTGATTGAACTGCAACTGAGAACGTGATGAAGTTGAATGCCGTGATATTTGTTGTATTTCGGGATGGATACCGACAAATAGCGGAAATTGAAGGCACGAAAAGTTGCTGATAGGTAAAATCAGTTCATTTCGAATGTTTTGCAGTGATTTGCCAGTTTGTTTGTTTTGTTGGGTTATGTCCGATCGGTCTGACTGGACCATTTCAGAGCCGGGAGGATAATAGGGAGAGACATTGGTCTAGGCAGGCACGCTAGAGAGTCACCGGGCTGAGCCCGTCCGAATGGACAGGCCAACCAGCCCCCGAACTACTCTCTACACCCGGCTACGGGTGTGCTCCCTCGGGAGCAGCGGTGCCGCTCCAAGGGACCAGCCCGCATGAGATAAAGGTGCCTGTCCAGCCCGGAGAGAGGGTTGTGGCGTGGAGGAAAAGAATTGGAACATGCTGAAGATGGTAACGGCGGACGGGTGTGAACGACAAATAGCAGCAAATAATGAAAACAGTTGATAGATAAGCTTAGTTCATTTGGAATGTTTTGGAAAGTGATGAACAAGCCTCAGGAGCTGCCTACCCTAGTCCAGTTTCACTTCTCTATGTATGTATTCGGCTTCCTGCACTCCTCTCACGGCCCGACTCTATCAATTCCACAGGCAGCGGGAGGCGGCGCTGAGCAGTCGCGAGAAGAAGCAGTGCTGCTGCCACCTGGCGGAGGGCGTGGTGAGCGCCGCCCAGCGGCCCAGCCCTGACCAGCTGCAGCGCCACCTGCCGGCAGTCGTCGAGACGCTGCTCCAGCTGGCCGACGACGCGGACGCCGACGTGCGCACGGCTGCCGACGAGAGCCTCAACAGGATCGTCAGGGTAGGTGGTGACGGGCGCGGTGTCCGCAGTTACAAAGCACGACCTCTGGATGGATGGTTTACGCTGGCGTTTTGCACCGTATCATAAAACTTTTTTTTTTTGAAAATTGCCTCCAGAATGCTGAGGCTCGCGGCTCATCCTTTCGTCCTGATCTTAGTCTTTATAATAATGTATCGATCTCTACCAAACCGAGCCCGGTTCTTACATCATCACGTCTTGTTTCGTGTGTTTTGCAGGGCCTCTCGGAGAACAACATCGGTCGGCTGCTGGTGGAGCTGTACAAGGGGATCAAACAGGGCCACAGTCCGCGCTCGGTGGCCGCCGCGCTCACGCGGTTCGCAGAGCTCTCCAACCGAATACGGTACGGATCAACGTTCGGCTGAGGGTCGCACTCGTGTGCAAATTAATATTTGAAATCTTGCATTTACCAACAGTCATGATGTCAACTGCAATAGTTCGCGTTGTTCAATGTACAAAGATCCGGATTAGGCGACTGCTAGAGGGGTGCTCCGTATCCATTTCTTTCGTTTATTGATGTCTTAATATCATGACTTATGACTTATGACCGGGTAGTTCCTAGTGCGACTCGTACCTTGCAACATATAGCCCGTATTACCCCGTGATCTACCCCATAACTAACCGCTGCCCCTGCGTGTTCCCCTGTGATCGAGCAGACCGCAGAAGCGGCGTGCGTACGTGGTCAACCTGTTCCCGTGTATCCTGCGCCTGACGCAGCGGGCCGAGCTGGCCGTGCAGGAGAGTCTGTCGGCAGCCCTCGTCAAAATGGCGCCCGTGCTCGGCGTGTTCTTCACTGACGGCGAGACCAAGGTGAGCGGTGGCGGCGAGACCGGGACTGGTAAGGAGGGCGGGAACTTTGGTCCAGTGGTCGGGGCGAGTGACTTTCAGGATGGTGGTCGGACTTTTAAAATTTCTGTGGACTTCCTAAGTGCCTGTCGCTTCCAGTGACGGCATTAAGTAACAGCGTATATCTTTGAACAACTTAACCACATGTGTTGAGGCGTCGCACGCTCTGCAGATGACGTACACAGCCTTGCCGTTCACCGTTCACTCTAATGTTGGACTGCTCTCGAAAGTGTTACGTGTATTACGTTCTACTAGCCGGGTGAATCGGCCCGCTCATTGTTTCCGTGTTCTGCCGCCAGGCGGTGCTGCAGGCGTTCCTGCCTAACCTGGAGCACAGCCAGGCCCCGCTGCGGCGGGCCGCCAGCGCCGCCATGGTGGCACTAGTGTCTCAGTGCCGAAAACCGGAGACGTTCCTACCCTGGCTGCTCTCGACGCTACTAGGTGAGAGACAAGCGTGGGACATTAGGAGTGTGAGTCGTGAGCTGTTGTTTTGTGGAAAGTATCAGTTAGTGAAGTGGACGTTGCAGCAGACCGAACAGAGTTAGAAGGGCTATGCTGGCTTTTAGCGACAGCTGGCGATCATGTGACGGACTTTGACATCATGCGACGTTGCGTGACGGACTGTGACGTAACGTAACGTTGCATTGCCGCTGGTGAGCTATGTCGGCATCCTCATTACCCGGCACACTGGCTAGTGCCGCTGAGTGACGGTGTTTTAGTTATGTCTGTCTCCCCCGACATGCTGTGTGAACTGTGACGGCCTGTCTCTCCCTATCTCCAGACTGGCTGGTGCCGCTGCGTCCCCCGGAGTCGGAGTCGGCCGGCCGGGTGCTCGGAGTACTCCTCTGTCTCCGCGACATCACACCGCTGCTCGAGGAGCTCTGTGACGGCGTCAGTCTGGAGCGGCTGCTGCAGGTCGGTACAGACGCAGACCTGAGAACCGTGTAGGGGAAACCGAACGAGGGAATTGTTGTTTCCGGCCAGCTGCTGGGACGGCTGCTTTTAATACATTTCTGCGGGCTAAGATATTTTGATGCGGTCGTTTCTATCAGCTGTGCTAATTTGCTTGATATACGTTGGATGATGTTATTAAGCTGCTTCCCGTTCACAAGATAGAGGGATTTAACACATCGCAGCCAAAACAGGCTCACCCGATATTCCACCTCACGCCACCGAACTACTGTATCGTGTCACCTCACCATCATCTCCCCCCCCCCCCCTCCCCCGCAGCTATACGAGCTGCTGCTGCACCTGACACAGCACGCCAACCACAACGTGGTGACGTCAGCTCTGGACGCGCTGTGTCAGCTGCTGCGCGCGCCGCCCGCCGAGCTGCTGGCGGCGCTGATCACGGAGGGAGCTCTGGAGCGGAGCAGGCTCCAGCCGGACGCGGCGCCGGCCGTCGGAAAGGCCAACAGTCAGTGGAGTGTGGGGAGAGTGGGATGGGGGTGCTGTTTGAGGGCGTGTTTAAGGAACGCTTTGATGCTTTCATTCCACCTGCACTTATTTCTGCTGGCAACTGCCTGTATCGGAGATTTTTCCTGTAAACTTTCTGTAGATAGGGCTGGTACGTAAAATTCCGGATATTTTTTCATAGACCCATCCCATGATGAATAACGATCTTATAAAGGCTTTCGTCGTGAGTCCAGTCTGGCTTTGGAGATTTCGGCCAAAGTCATCTTAACTGAAAAGGCCTTCCGCTTCCCAAATCACCAGTTATTTCCCATGACGCAATTATTTCCCTTGACATTCCACTTCTCTCCTTCCCCTTTATCTCTTCGCTCGCGATATTCTCCACCTTTTCCCGCGTGCGAGCGAAGCCGATGTGTGGGGTGATTGGGCGTGCTGTGTGTGGGGCTAGGCTTGGTACTAGTGGTGTCAATCGGAACTTGAATCTTCGGAATTCCGATTTTGTCCAATGTCCAATTCGGAATTCGGTTGGACAATGGCAGCAGGCTTTGGACAACTTTGGACAATCGCTTGCTACACCTCAACATTTTTTAAAAGTAATCGTGTTTAACATTGATTGGCTATTAGAAAGCTCAGCTTTCAATATGATTAACACTTTTGAGCTGGTAACGGTACATGAAAAGCAAATTAAATATCAGTGTTGAGTGTCAACTATTGCGTAGGTGTCGGGCATCTTTGGACAAATGGCTGGCTTGGACATTTTTGGACGGACAGTTGACGTAAGCATTGGACATTGGACGGACTTTGGACATACGTTTTCTGAAATTGACACCACTACTTGGTACGCGGACTCTCCGCCTCCCGGTAATTCGGTGCCCTACCTTGCTGTGACGCTGAGGGCGGCCGGCCACCCACCTCAGGTGTGCTCAGCGTGGCGCCGTCTCTGGCTGGCGAGGAGGCTGATCTGGCCGATACCGACTCGCTGCTCTGGCCGGCGGAGGACCCCGGTCAGGACGAGCGGGGCGCGGAGACGCCGCCCCCGCCACCGCCTCCGCCACCGCCGGTGGCTCCGGCTGAGATAGAGGGTAAGTGAGTAAGGTGTGCTGCGGTGGTGACTATCGGATTGGACGTGAAATTGGACTGGGTTGGTGGCCTGTGGACTTGGTCCGCTCCGGACACTTCACTGTGGATCTGGAGCTCGAGGTTGGCTGGATTTCCTTTGGCGCTGCTTGACTTTTCACCTCATGGTAAATGTGTGATTATTTGTTCTATTGCTCTCTATCACCACCCGTGTCACCCCATGCCCCACCCTCCCCTCACTCGGGTGCCCGCGCTGACAGAGCACTCCGTGTGGACAGAGCCGCCGCTGCGCGTGGCTACGCCCCCTGCCGATGACGTCATCGATCCGTTGCGGTACGACATCACGTGTACTGACGAGACTGCCGACACTGCCTCTGGGGACACACAGGTTTGTAACGACGGGTTGGTGGTGGTGGGGCCGTCTGTAACGGGGTAACTGCGTTGAGTTGGCAGTGGAGTGGGTGCCTCGGTTAGTCGTGTAGGCACTGGTTATGTTTGAAAAGGGCATTGTCAGGTAGGTTTCGTCGTAGGTTTCAATCTCTTCTTGCATTTATATCTCTTCACAGGCAGGCTTTAGTTAAATAAGTTTGATGGGGTGCAATATTTTGCAAGGTTTGTAGTCGATGTAACTGCTGGATTCACGATTGTTTAGGTCACTCTGAATGACGCTTGTGTGTGCTCGTTCAGGGCTCGGTGGCCGGCGACATCGGGTCGCTGACGGACGGAGGGATCCCTCTCATCTACTGCTGTCGGCTGCTCGTCTCGCGGTACCTGCTCACCGGCGTACCCAAAGGCATCAGGTCAGTCAGATCGAAATTACAGAGAGCTACAGAGGAAAGGAGTGGGCCTCTCGTCAGAGCCAAGTACCGACGTAAACAGGATACTCGTCCAGCTCGAATTTCCGGCATGTAGATGCACTTACTATCAATCCATTCTGCATGATGATGCAGTTATGATGCATATCTGTCAACGTAGGTAGCTATTTTTTTTTTAAATGTCAAAATGTACTCATGATAATGCCCAGAACTTCATTGAAATATCATATTTGTTAATAATGACGTACTGTTCGCTGTACCGTTACGTTCATCTCTGCGTGTGTGTGCGCACTATAATAACTGCTATGCTATATCGTGTGTCGACAGGGGTGACCGAGAGGTGCGTGTCAGCATCAAGGTGCTGTGTGTGACCTGTATCAGCGCGGCCGTGTCACTGGCGCCCGACATACTGTCACTGCCACTGCTAATCGACAAAGATCCTGAATCAGGTCAGCTTAACATGGGTGGCAGCAACATTCTGTGAACTTAACGCCGGGATGGGGTAATCAAACCATCATTTGTTACTCTTGGGTCAATGAATTTCAGGAAATGACATTGTTCACTTGATTTCCAGAGCAGTTGCCGCTGAATGATACTTCTTGTTCAAAACTTCCTCTGAAAGGTTGATTTTGCATGCGGCAATGTATTTAGCTCGTCACTTGTTAACCTCCAATCACTCAGCGTACTGTCAGTGTCTCATTTAGTAACGCTCTCTTTCTCTCCCCCAGCCGAGTGCCAGTACCTGTGGGACGTTCCGCTGTAACCGCACCCCTCCCTGCCCTCCGTTTCCACAGCCGAGTGCCAGTACCTGTGGGACGTGCTGCTGTTTGTGGATGACGCCGACCCGCAGCTGCGCGGCGCCGTCTCCCTGCTAATCGGCACTTACCTGCGCGCCGCGGCGCTGCAGCCAGCCACCCAGGGAGACGGCACCGAGCGGCCGGCGCCGCTGAGAGCCAGGACACTGCTCGACCACCTGCAGCAGGTCAGGGGGGACGCGGGCTGTGTGAAGTCATGGTAGAATGGCGGGTTGAACAATTCACGCCGGGTTAAACAGTGGACTTAATTTCATGCCTCTGTTCAGTGCCTTCTGCAGAAGAATCGTTAGGATGCCCGGCTACGCTTGGTGAACTCATCTAAAATTACTATGGATGGTAACTTTCGACTGGTGTGATGCTCGATATATTTTAATTTATGCTGGCTCTAAGAGTAGAGACCCTCATCTTATCAAAATGTTTAGTCTTTGGCCGATTGCACAGTAGCGGCTCTGGACCGAATATGTGACGCGGCTTCCCGTCTCCCCGTTCACAGGTCCTATTAGACAGCAGTCACGTGTCGAGTCGTCAGGCGCTGGAGGGGCTCGGCCAGTGTCTGGAGCCGCTGCTGAAGGCACCCGAGTGTGAGCTGCTTCTGCCGCTGCTGTCTGCGCTGCTCCGGCTGGCCGATCACTCCTACTGGCTCGTCAAGGTGCGGACCGCGTGTCTGTCAGTGCTCCGGCCGATCCCAGAACTGGGTTTTGTGTGCGACAGCTGAATGAATGTAAATGCAGATGTGCAATGTACATTTGTGTTTCCAGATCACTGTCCGTCTGACCCTTGAATCGCTAACTTCCCTGTAATGCTTATTTTCTCTATTTAGCCAACTGTGACTCTATCCGTCGAACGTTCTCTTGGTCTATTTTCCTGTCACACCGACATGCCCATCGATTGAATCAAGAATCAAGAATCAAGGTTGTTTGGGCTCTGGAAGAAGACGTCGAGGTCTATGTTGTAGCCCATTTCTTTTTTGAATCACACGTTTTCTACATCAGTTTGATTTCTCTTGGGTCAGTCTTGTCTGTCTGCCCGATGTTTATCGTATCTTGACTTAAATTGGTTAGATGTTTTTGCCATCTTGATGTGAGAGCTTAACAAATTCCATTTATTTTTAACTCTTTGTGAAAAAATATTCCTCTCTTCAACGTCCGGTGGTGGGGCTTGTACAGTTTGAGGTAATCTCGCTCTGTTCGGTTTCTAACGTTAAATAATTGGGTGAGGTCACACTCGTGGAGCTGATGGAGGATTTTGTGGGTCTCAAGTAAGTCTCCCCGTTCTCTTCTCTCTTCTAGGGTGGTAAGCTTAAGCTGTCTCAGCCGCTCTGGATAATCTAACCCTTGCATTCCCACAACTCTTCTGGTAGCTGCTCTTTGAACTGTTTCAATCTTCTTGATATTATATTTCTTATATGGAGACCACACTTGGGGACAGAATTCAATGTGAGGGCGAACAAATGTTTTGTATGTGAGATTAAACATTGCCGGCCTCAGCTTTTCAAAGGTTCTCCTTACCATTCCCCAACTGGCATATGCTCGTTGAGTGCATTTGTTAATATGTTTGTTGAACTCCAGCGAGGAGTCAACAATAACACCCAGGTCTCTTTGTTCGTTGGTGTTCTCCAGCTTAGTACCACCGAGCATGTAGACTGGTCTGTCGGACATCATTTGTTTTGTACCGATTCGAAGGGTCTGGCACTTAGAAGCATTGCAGCATAGTTTCCATTGACGAGACCAGTGCTCAATCTCTTGGAGATCCTCTTGTAAGCGCTTCACATCTTCATGTGACTTGATGTGTCGGTAGATTTTACTGTCATCAGCAAAAATTTGCACCTGGCTAACTATTTGATCCGGCATGTCATTAATAAACAGAAGGAACAGGGTGGGACCGATCATTGAGCCCTGTGGGACGCCACTTGCCACCTTTGCCCAGCTTGAGTGGACTCCGCTGACTACAACTCTCTGTTTCCTATCGTAGAGGAAGTCTTCAAGCCAGTTAAGCAGCTGACCGCCTATTCCTGATCGGTATAATTTATGACAAAGTCTTGCATGTGGTACGGTGTCAAAAGTACACCGTTTTTTTTTACTGATTCCCTGATCCAGCAGATTGTGTCATTGTCATCCCCGAGCTGTCTGGCCGATAAGGCGTCAGTATGCCTTAGCCCGGCAGTTGCTGGGGTATTTCGCCACCCACCGTTTGCTGGGGGGGGGGGGGGGGCGTTAAACGCCCCCAGCCAATAACTCGAGAACCAATAGGCGCAGCGAAACGCACGAGGCGGCAAACGAAAGAACGCGACGAGACGCTTCAGATGAGTACTTCAAAGTTGAATTTTGAGGTCACAGGTCAGGTCAAGGTCAGGTCAAACACCTGAAATAGGGCTTTCAGTAGCATGGACTTCAGGACTTCGCAATGGGCGCCTCTCGTCATAAGCTCTGTTAAAACGGTGCACAATCCATCATATAAGGCCTACAAGAGTGTCAGCTCCATGTAGGGGTCAGTCAAGCATAGGTCGGGGTCAAGGTCAGGTCAAGGCACATATCCCCGAAAATCAAAACTGATATTCGCAGCCTGTGACACATGTTTATTGGGTAATTTGGGGCGTAGAACACGATGGTGACATTCATTTTATCATATGTGTACGTGTTTGGCTCAAAAAGTTCAATTTAAGAAATGCATGTATCATGGTCGTGAAGTACCTAGTCACGAGAAATTGCCAAGATTCAGTTCAAGATTTTGGAAAATGCGGATCGATAATCAATAATCGAAGATAGCCATTTGATTGCTCATGGTATTGGCAGTCTAATGGCGTTTACGGCATGTCTGTATGTCTATTCTGTGATTTTATATGATTTTTTGAACATATGCCGTTTTTGGTACAAAACTCAGAAATCATGACGTCACTAAAACCTCGATATCTCAATAATTTTCCAAACGATTTTTTTGAAACTTTGTCACAATAAACTTCAAACAATTCCCTACAGGTACCTAAAATTTGGCGCGCCTGCGGCGCGCCGTTTTTATGCTATGGCCCGGCGAAAAAAGTGGGGGCGTTTAACGCCCCCCCTCCCAGCAACTCGCGGGTTAGAACGCTCACCACCCTCAGCTGTCCTCCAGGTGGACCTGTGCTCGCTGGTATCAGCGCTGCCGCTGCCGGAGCTGGAGCTGCTCTGGCGCTGGGGAGCTGCCGACGACAGCAGCTACCAGCAGCTGCTGCTGGACGACCTGCTGCTCCGGCTGCTGGAGGACGTCGACCAGCGCGTCCAGCAGGCGGCAGCCACCGCCATCGTCAGGTCGGTCTGTGGAGCGAAACTAACCGCACTCTGTACCCGATTACAGGGGCAGTCTGGTGTGGATATGCCGGGGCGAGTATGGTCATGACTTATCGATCTTCCTATGAGACCGGCCATTTAATTTTGCTGCAATATCTTTGGTCGTCTTTATGCGATGTGTTACACATTCAATTTGTTTTATTCGGACCTTAGGAAGTAACTGGTTAACCATCCTAGCGTAGTTGATCACATATTTTCTTCGTCTTATACTCCGTGTCGCTGAATTTAGACATCCCGAATCTCGGCCTTATCCTCTGACCGTCTTTCCTGCTGTGTCTTCCTGTCACGCACAGCTTTTTCCTTTCTCTAACTCCTCCCTCGTTGTTTGACCCCCAGTTACGTTCAGCGAATGCCGGTCTCTAACTCCTCCCCCATTGTTTGACCCCCAGTTACGTACAGCGAGTGCCGGTCTCTAACTCCTTCCTCGTTGTTTGACCCCCAGTTACGTACAGCGCGTGCCGGTCTCTAACTCCTCCCCTGCTGTTTCACCTCCAGTTACGTACAGCGAGTGCCGGTCTCCGCCGAGCCGGACGGCTGGGTGTCGGAGGCGGCCGGCCGGCAGCGCTCGGCCCTGCTGCCGCCGCCGCAGCCCTGGGGTACCGGTCTCCGTGTCACCGGTCCCGGCCGGGGGGCCGTGCCGCCCTTCAGTGAGGCTGGTGGACCGGCCCGGCCCGAGCTGGGCGCGGCGCTCTCACTGGTGGTCGGCAAACTGATCAGCACTCTAATGATGACCGACTCGAAACACATGGTGGTGAGTGGAATGGTTACTGGGAGGCTGCATTGTGTGTGTGGGGGGGGGGGCGGGGGGGGGGGGGAATTCAGGCCGGACGGGCCAGGAATTAAATCAGGTGTCAATGTTTTATTCTTACCGCTCACGTAGTCCGTACTACTTTTGTAAATCTCGTCTACACAAGTATTGTCTGACCCGTCGGTAGTGTAAATGGTTTCTATGGTCGGCTTGCCATCGAATCTGTTTCGTCTCCGGCTGACTGACTCTCCTCTGTCCGCCGGTCCACACCAGTCGGGAACGGTTCTGGCGCTCAGGGCTCTCATGGACAAGATGCCGGCCACTGTATACCCGGAGGCCTGGCAGGTCAACCACAAACGGTGAGCAATACCAATGAGGAACCAGTAAAGAACGGAATCTTGTTGTTTTTATGGCATGATTACGTTCTTTCAAGCGGCGTGAAATGACAGTGTCTTTTTGCATGTATGGTAAATGAAAAATAATTATTTTGTTAATACTGTGCCGCTTCAGACGACAGTGATAGTTCGCTGACAAGCTTTATGTTCCCCCGCCAGGTACCGCCGCGGTCTGTACCAGCTGTGCGTTTCCATGGTTACGTCCACACAGCTGATGCACGACCTGGCCACACACAACAACCTGGTGCACCTGGCCGCCAGCCTCGCCGCCGGTGAGCTACACCAACGTAATGCACCTGATCATACACAATAACCTGGTGCTCCAGCTGATCAGATATACCAACCTAATGCACCCTGGCCATTAGCCTCTCCGCTGGCCAAGTATTAACCTGACCACAGGACACACCGTATAATTTTTCAATTGTACGTCTATCGGATTTGTTATTTCTTCGCACCCTGTAAGCCCCTCTTCCCTTCCCATATACCCCAGCAGTAAGTCCACTCTCCTGCAGGGATCTGTGTTCGCCAGCAGCGAGCCCGTCCATCCCAGAGCCGGGAGGAGCGGCTGCGGGCCAACTGGGACCTGCTCGAGCCGCTGGTGACCCACGTGATGCGTGTGATGAACATCTACAGCCACCTGGTCGGCGACACGCAGCCCACCACGCCGCAGAACAAGTCAGTGGCGCCGGCGGGGATTATGCTGGGGTTGAGGGATTATTGTTAAAAGACGAGCTGTCTCACTTTGCTAGACTATGACGGATGAAGCAGGCTCCGAAACGGGGTCTGTCGCTAAACATGAAAGTATTATAACTGCAGTTTAATGGGAAGATGCATGATGCATTTTCCCTACTCGTTGCAAACTTTATTTCTTTCTCTGCAAAGGTGTAAATGTAACGTCCACTCAGCCGCCGGCTATGCACTAATAAATGTTTGACGCTGACAGGTCGAGTCTGCCCAGTTTTCCGACGGCCAGCTCGCTGTCGCCGATCAAAAAGCGCAGCACCCCGGAGCGGTCCAAGTCTGCCACGTCTACCACCACTACCTCCACGGCAGCGTCTTCCACGCCCGCACCGGCTCCCGCCTCTGCCGCCTCCGACCGAGCTGGTACGTACTGAGCTTATTAGGCACCCCCAATGTAGCCTTCGTGAGTCGTGACGTTGCGTGGCTCTGAGTGTTGCATGCGGCAGGTCAGAGCTGTCGCCAAAGTAGGTTTGCTTTCTCTTGGAACAAAGTGTGCCGAATTCGGGGCAGTTGCTGAGCTGAGTATTGATGTCCTGAAAGTTGAAACCCAAAATTATCAATTCTGACCGACTAGGTCGGTGTTTCATGTTGTTCGCTGTTGTTGCATCGTTATAAAGCAGGTGCCACGTTGCGACTTGGACTGCTACGGGTTTCCGAATTCCTTTTTAACTTTGTCCTCCTCGGGGACGCTCCTTGATGTAGGTACTACAATTGATGCCGACTTCTTCGATTTTCTTCGTCAGGTTCACAAGAGCGGGAAGAGAAGGAGGCGGACAAAAAGGTCCGGCAGGCTGTTGGGTTCTTCATGTCATCTTCTGAGTACCAGAAACTGTACTCGATGCTCAAAACCATTTACGAGACATTCAAGGTACGTGATGAGCTGAGGTTGTATATTTTGTGGTGAACTGAATCAGTCCTTGTGCGCCCATGTTTTTTTTCTTTTCTTGAGAATAGGGTTCGGTCATTCCATTTTACGATGTAAGCATTGGCGATCCATGATTGACTTCAGCTCGCCGTGACTCCCAGCTGCGTTTCCTTTCGCTAACAGCCCCCCCCCCCACTCTGCCGACAGATCACGCTGAACGCCCAGAGCTCTGAGAAGCTGCTGGGCGTGCTGTCGGGCTGTCTGACGGCGCTGGGCATCCTGCTCGAGCTGGTTGGCACGGCCCAGGTGGCACCGCTGGCTGAGGAGCTGCTCGGATACGTCACCGGGCTGATTCGACTGGCACCGGCGCTGGCGCTGCACTGCGTGCTACAGGTGGGTGTGGAGTGAATGTCTGGGGGATGGTTCACTTCGTGTTGCAGGTGGCTGGTTAGAGACGTTGGGATGTGAGAGAAGATAGACTCAATCTAAATAATTTAGTTAGGTGAACTGTAGACAGTGTTCGGTCGGTTGATTGAGAACGTGGCACCTTTCGTATCCCAAACTATGGTTCCATGGTTATTGCGTCCGGAGGCTGTCAATTTTTAGCCTTTTTTAGTCTTGCATTATTTAAGGACCCTGGTGGTCATCATTCACTCTTAACCTTCACCTCAATGTCCGCTCAACATTTTTATCGTCGTCGCCCTCCTACTATTGCTCTTTCCATTATCGGTCCTCCGCTATCTCTGCTAACGTCCCGCCGCCGGCTCCCGCCATTTTCAGCTGCTGCGCGCCATGTTCGGCTCTGCGGACGCTGCTCGACCGTCGGGCTCGGCTGGTCACCTGTCGCGGGACGCCAGCACGACGTCGTGCGCGGCGGACGACGAGCCGGGCCTGTACCAGGCGTGTGTGAACGGGCCGTACGCCGAGCTGGCCGCGTTTGTGGCCACCTCCCGGCGACTGACGGCGACCAACGAGGAGGGCACGTGGGTGTGGCGGGGTGTCGGGGAAGAAGGGGAGTTAATGGAGGGGAGGGATTTCGGCGGAATGGGGATAGTATAGGAGCTGGAGAGGGGATGCGGCGGCGGAGGGACTGGTAGCATACAGTGGTCGAGGGCATCATAATAAGGCTTCCTAGTGTTTTGTTCATTCTGACTCTCATATTAGCGATTGTACAAATTCTAAGGTACACAATTTTAGAATCAAACAGCTGCAGTCTGCAGGAAAACAAAATGTATGATATGCTTCTGCGCTTTGATGAGTCATCTGCTCATGCATTTCAATCTCAGCAGACTAATTGCACCGTGGCACTGGCACCATCGTTCCAGCTCTCCGTCACTGTACCTAAAGTCACTGCTCTATAATTCCAGCTCTCCGTCGCCACGGCCGGAGTACGACAGTCGCCGGCCGGGACTCAGTTCCGGACGCAGTACCGACAAACAGGCACTGGCCTCCTATATCCGCGTCTTCGAGCCGTCCGTCATCAAGGCGCTCAAGGTGGGCAGGCGTAAAGGGAGAGGGAGACCAGGGCTTGTTTAAAAAAATGTATATGTCGACTTGTCCTTGCCAATAGTGTGTCTGCTAGATGCCACATTCAGACCGTTCATAGGACCGCCGGCCCTTAGCTGATGTGCTCGACCTTCTCAAGCATCCCTCCTCTCTGATTGACCATACCTCGCGCAGATCGCCCCGAGAATAGATGTCCAAACGCTCCCTCCATTCTCTCTTCAGCTCTACACGGTAACCAGCGACCCGGAGGTGCAGAGTCCGGTACTCTGGCTGCTCATTAACCCCCTGAAGGCATGTTCAGACACTCCCCCTCCTCCCCAGCTGTACACTGTGACGAGCGACCCAGAGGTGCAGAGTCAGGTACTCTGGCTGCTCATTCAGCTAGTCCAGCTGCGAGTCAACTACTGTCTGCTCGACTCGGACCAGATCTTCATCGGCTACGTCATCAAACAGCTGGAGTACGTCGAGGAGGGACAGATGAAGTGAGTGGCTCAACTTTAATGAAAAAAGGACGGCCAGACAGGGAACATGTTTTATGTTAGACAACTATTAAATTGTGGGAAATTTCGCAGGGAGGTATGATAAGTATGGAATAGCATCCAACCCAACGAATATTTCTTTCCAATTCTTGCATGTTCAAGGTATCGTCTGTTCAGCTGATTTTCTTAACTTATTTGGCAGATGACGCGTCAGTTATTAATGCTCTCCAGAGCCTTACTCGTATCTTTTTCTTTGCATTATGATTCGCGTGTTACGAGTCGTGATTGAATGGGATACTGGTTACCCTGCCTGACTGTTTTGCACCCTAGTCGACGCTGTATCGCATTTTGACCTGACCCTTTATGACCGTCCGCCAGGGAGGGTAACCAGGTGATCCCTGCCATCTTCCGGTTTCTGGTGGCATTGTCCTACGAGCGCTACCACTCCAAGACGATCGTCTCCATACCCAAGGTCATCCAGCTGTGCGATGGCCTCATAGCCAGCGGTCAGCCGCCGGAGACTTACGGTACGGAAGTGACGGGGAGCGGTGGTGTGGGCTGGAATCTCAAACGGCAGACATCTACTTGGTATTCGGTGATCCTCTCCAATATCTTAAGATATATAACGTGCTACCCAATAATGATGTGGGCTTACTTCGAACGTTAAACAGCTGAACAAGTTTTTATGGTATTTTGTTTATTTCACTTTTAGTGCTTGTGACGATTTTAAGAACTGATTTCAAGAAGTTTTGGCTGACAATTAAGTTTACCGGGTAGCCCTTTTTACATAATTCTGCCGTCCAAAGGCAAAACCGCATATGTCGGGTCAGGTCATGAACCGACATATGCGTTTTTGCCTTTGGATTGCAGAATTGTTCCTGTAGTCATGCTGCAACTTTTATGAAATGCCACGCTGTGCTCCAGCCACCCATCACTCGTATACCGTCTCATATCCCGCACCCAGTTGGCCTAACCTCCTCTGTCCGATCCGCAGCGCTGCCTGCACTCCGTCCCATCGTCGAGGACCTGTTCGTATCGGCTCGGCCGTCGGTGCAGGACGCCAAGGAGCTGGAGGCGCAGAAGGAGGTGCTGCTCAGCATGCTGCTGCGACTGATCCAGTACCCGGAGGTCAGTCAGGACCGGCGGGGTGTGTTGGAGCGCGAGCCGGCGACGGGAGTAGGGTCAGTGATCTGTCAGCGGTTTCGTTTCTGATCGTGCGACTGAATGAAGTAGCTTGAGCTTGGTCAACGGTTGCATGAGTCAACTCCAGAAATGAAAGTTCGGTTGGGTCAGTTTGCCTCAAGACAGTGGCGTCATATACAAGTCTTTGCTGTCATTTATGATATTTTGTTCTTTCCTACTCACTACATTGTATGCAAGAACTTATCCCTGACCTCGACCAGTTTCCCCGCCAGCTGCTGATCAACTGACTCCTCCTCATCATGATATGCTGATTCCTCATCTCAATTCCCCATCAGGTCTGACCTATCCCCTCTCTCCCCGTCAGGTTCTGGAGCTGGTGTCTCTGGCCGTGTGTGAGTCCCGCCGGGACGGTGAGGAGCGCTGGCGGCTCGCCTCGCGCGCCGTCCTGGACGCCCTGCTGCCGCCGCTGCTGCAGCTGCACGTACGACTCGACTCGCCCGAGGCGCTGGCGGCGCTCCACCGGCTGCTGGCGGCGCTGTGCCCGCGCGCCCTCCGGCCCGCCGAGGACCTGCTGTCGGGCCTGCTGAGACACCCGGTCGGCGTGGTGAGTGGGGAAGGGCTGAGTCCTGTCGGTTCAATTCATGACTTCGGTTTGCTTTGACCCAGTGCCTATGAGCTGTATGCTAGCTTGGTTTATTTTATCGTTATAATTCCTTCATGGGCATTTTGTCGTACTATTGCGATGTACTCACAGCCAGTCCCCTACCCGCCTCCTGTATAACTGCCCCTCCTGATATAGGACTCCCTCTCCACCACTTCCCCTTGTCTGACCGCCCGTCTCTGCCGTATGCCGCCAGTCGTCGGTCTCGGACATGCAGCGCTGGGGCGGCATGTTATCGGCCCTGCTGCGTGTGTTGGTCACACACGTGCGGGAAGACGTGCTGCTGGCCAGGGTGGACGACCTCGGGCTGGCCACCACGGAGCTGCACCGGGACCGGGAGCGAGCCGTCAGCGCCCAGGAAATCGTCGTCAGGTGGGCTGCGGCATGGATACGGGACACGATTTTCTCAAAGTGGCCCGCGATGTAACGCTGATGTGTTTCATCGTCCCCCTATTGCGGTGTGCCGCCAGAATCCTGATGAAGCTTGCAATGTATTTCTCACTATTGTGTCCCTATTCTCCGAGTATTTCTCATGACCTTGTCCGACTATCGCCAGGTTCGTACTATCGGGTCGCTGTCAGTATTTCTCACTGTCGTCTCCCGTTGCTACTTGCTAGGTTCCTGTTGTCTGCTCTGGAGCTGCTGGTCGGCCAGCTGGCCTCGGTGGTGGCCAGCCCTCTGATGTGGGGCACCACCACCTGTCTGCCCCAACTGCTGGCACAGCTCCTGCAGATCATCATCTACATACTGCAGTCAGGTGAACTTAGCGCACTCGCCCGTCCCGCCCGGACGGTAGCTGAGAAAAGGGAGTTTTAGGAGAGGTGTATTTGGTAGTAGATGTAATGGGAGCTTCTATTCGAAACTACTTTAAGTTAACTGCTTTCTTAACGTGTTCTTAAGCCGTAACAACAAGCCATCTAAATGCCCTGCTGTATTTCTTTCTGGGAAGTCTTTTCCTCCTCGCGTCTTGTAGCTCCTGTTTCCGTGTTCTTGACGTTTACATCGCCCGTCCGTTTTCAGGCGCGTTCGGCGAGTGCGCGCGCTGCGCCATGTGGCTGGTCTCGGAGGGCCTGTACGACCTGGAGCCCATCAGCAACGCCTTCCTCAGCCTGGCCGGCGTGCAGCCGGTGCTGCTGCTCTCCTGGTGTAACCTGCTCACACTGCTCAACTACCGGCAGCTGGACTTTTGGCGGGCGCTCACCCAGCCGCCCGCCGACCCCAGGTTAGTCCAGACTCCAGTCATTCAGGTCACACCGGCTGGGCCCTGTAATATATCAGACCCCAGGTCATACCCGAGTTTCGTGCAACTGACCTCAGGTCAGAGCTCAGAATATCCGGCCTTTGCAATTAAGGTCTGGTCCCAACTGCAGCTCTCAGCCGACTGGGCCGCATTCCATCTGCCTATAGCTCTGGCTGATCCGCATGTAATTCAAGTGTTTGACGGTAATATTGCTAGGGTACACTGACAGATTTTCTGGATACCGTGACGTCACTCATGTGTTCGTTTCCTTGCTGGCAACGAGCGGTGTTGACGCATTCTTTTCCTGTTTCAGCTGGGAATCTACAGGATGCCTCGCCCGTGATCTGGCCCGCAAGGGAGCTCTCATTCTTCTCTGTGATTACATGGTGAGAACTCCTCTGATCATGACCATATTGAAAACCAAGTGCTTTGAGTGTGCTATTATATCTTAAATCGAACGTTTTGCATTCCTCGTGACTTAGTTTGGACGAGCACATGCATACTTTGCCACTTGTTATCGATATTCCCTCTCTCACTTGTCATGTTATCCGTGTAAGAAACGTCCGACGGTGAGCTGGTTGCTCACCCTTTCTCTGACTACCTGGTTCTCCCCAGTGTGAGAACACGTCGGACGGTGAGCTGCTCGCCTGGCTGCTCACTTCTCACATGACGGAGCTAGTGGCGCTCAGTGCCGAGCCTCCCGTCTCCGATATGCTGGCCGCGCTCCACCGGAACCCCTCGGCGTCCGGCCTGCTGATCCAGGCCATCGCAGCGCGCTGTCGGCATCTGGACCAGGTGGGTGGTGCGACCGGGTGTGAGTGGGGATGTAGTGTATAGAATGGGACGAGTAGAGTTGACTTCATGCAGGCTTCATGCAGGTTGACTTCATGCAGGTAGGTAGGTCTGAGAGGCTGGATTAAGGCGGTAGTGGCATCTGCCCGTGGTCAGTAATCAGTACCCGTCTGATGGTGCCTACCCGTGTGATGGTGTAAGTATCACGTATTGTTATACTAAATATAGTATTCATGCCCGACGCCCGTGTCTGGTCACCTGGTCCCGTCTGCACCCGTAAGCCCCTCAGTCTGATCTGCTGTCTGCCGTTACAGCCGCTGATGGCCCAGCGCGTGCTGCGCTGTCTGGAGGGAGCGCCTGCCGCTCAGTATGGGCCGCTATTGCTGTTACTGTCTCGCCGCCTGATGACCTCACACCACCTGGTCGTGGCCGACGAGGTCATTCGGCTAGCGTGCAGGTCAGTCAGGCGCTGAGGGTCACCGTGGCAGGGCTGGAATCACTGAGGTCACTGTCGGTCAGTCACTCTCCAGAACTGCACCGGAGGTTAAACAGCTTGCTTGGACGTACGATACTGTTGGTTGTCTATATTTTCTAGTAATATTTTATTGTTTCATGCCCGCGACGCGCAGGAATTCCAGGAAAGGTCATAGCAGGACGCGCAGGAATTCCTCAGATATCTGCTGCAGGGACTTCACGAGGACGTGAACCGGGTGACGAGCCGGCCAAAGCCGATCACGACCGACATCGACGACTCACTGAGCGCCAGTCAAAAGTCAATGGAGGCCTGGAAACGTTTCTTGCGCCTGGAAAACTCCAAGTTTGTTGACCTGTTCGTGGGCCAGCTCAAGGCTACCCTGCGGTGCACGGTATGTGGCCACGCATCGGTTACCTTCGACCCGTTCTGGGATCTGAGTCTGCCAATCCCGTCACGAAGTGGCCAGGTGCGCCTACAGGCCTGTTTTGACCTGTTCACCAAAGAGGAGGTGCTCGATGGCGACGAAAAACCGACCTGCTCAAAGTGCCAGAAGCGCCAAAAGTGCACCAGGAGCCTCTCGATCCAGAAGTTCCCTCGTATCTTGGTGGTCCACCTGAAGCGGTTCTCGCCGCAGGAGAGGTTCCGCGGGAAGCTGAACACCACTGTCGACTTTTCGGTGAACGGCCTGGACCTGTCGCCCTACTCGGCCGGACAGACGCCCTGCCGGTACAGCCTATACGGCGTGGCGAACCACTCTGGCACGCTGCTCTCAGGACATTACACCGCTCACTGCCGACACCCGTACACGGCAGAGTGGTACGAGTACAACGACTCGCGGGTCCACGTGATGGACCAGAGAAACGTCAACAGCGGAAAGGCTTACGTGCTGTTCTTTGAGCTGGCCGGCTCGAAACACCGCTCCGGCTCGACCCACGTCTAGTCATCCAGTCACGGGAGAGGAGCCTGCGATCGTCACCCGCTCGGGCCCTGTGTAGTCACACCGACCGGCGCACATTCTGCTCGGACAACTCTAGCCAGCGGCCTATTGTGATTTGTGATATTGCGTGTAAGGTGTTGTGAAAAACCAGAACAGCCTTTGGATCTCACTGAAAACATTGGCAATACACCCTTTTATTGTTTTGAATGCTCTTTGCTGTAATCAGCCATTTTTACGTTTTGTGTAATGTGTGTCATGCAGGAAGCTGGAGATCATGCTGGCGGCTGAGGAGCGAATACTCTCAGAAGACAACTTCAACGAGCTGGTTGAAAATATATCTAAGGAGCCATCTCTAATGAGGTATTTCTGGTGGCAAGGGAAGGGTAGGGGTGATAGGGACAGTTAGCGACAGCTGTACAGAAATGGCAAGATGCTTGATGTCTTTATTTGCTTTTCATTCTTGCTGTGTCTAGCTATTCGACCCCGGACCTGTGCTTTGACTTGCTCGCGTAAGCCCGCCAATCGACGTGCTTCGTAATTTTGCTGATTTTGTCTTAGAAACAGGAGTCAGTCTTGACATTTGCGTGGTCAATTTGCAGGATTCGTCTCCGCTATGACCATGTTCCCCCATCCCTCAGGGAACGCGAGCTGACCTCCCTGGTGACCCGGCTGGGTCAGACGTTCTTCGGCGTTCCCCTGGCTCTGGGTGAGGAGGAGGCGGAACGGCCGGCCGCCGCGCCACCGGCCGTGCCAGACCGTGACTGGTACCTGCAGCTGGTCAGGGACACGTGAGTGTGACCGGGTAGGATAGTCCATCCATCGGGCAACGTTATGGGCGGGATTGTGTGAGTGTGAGGTTGTAGGCTAGAAGGATTGTTATGAAGTTTATGAAGTGTGGATCGTTGATGGGACGCGTCCCGTTCGTTTCGTCAGGAGCGGCTGGTCGGAGGCCCCCGGTCGGGAGTGTGCCCGTCTCCTGGCGCGACTGGAGCAGCAGGAGATCCTGGACATTCTCATGGCTGAGGGAACTGACCTGGCCATCCTGGAGCACTGCTTCCGACAACCGGATATCGGCACGGAGGTTAGTCGCTGCTCATATTTTGCATGCTAATAACGTAGATGCTATTTTGAAGTCATAAAGACTACGTTAAAACTTTTTTTTTTACTGTTGTGTGTGTCACTATTTACTCGGTCACGTGTCGGGGTATCTCGATCGTATTTTACCGTGCATTGTATACAAAAGACGAAGGCTGAATATGGCTTTGAAAATACGTATAACGCTTCTTCGTCTCGGTGACATGCCTAATAACGACAGTGTATTTTCTATGTGCACAGGCGGGCGGCTCGGCACTGTACGCTGCGGCTGAGACTGCTCTGTGCCAACACCTGGAGCTGATCTGTAGCCAGCTACCCTCCCCCGATCAGGTACGTGGCACGTGCCTTAATTCAGCTGGTTATTACCAGTCAGATGGAAAACTTGGAAAACGAAGTTGACAATTGTGTGGCAGTCATCATGATCATTTGTCAACGAATAAGGTTCACGAGGCTTTTCATTTTGTATTCATTTCACCACCTGCGATGACAGCTCAAGGTATTATTGTTATCCCGTGTCTTTATTATCCATTGCCCGTTATCTGCTTTCACTTACCACTGGCTGACCCTCCTCCATTTCTGGACAGGCGTTCGCCAGTGACCGGTACCGTAAATACACCCGCCGCCTCGAGGAGCAGCTGTGTGAGCCGACCGTGTGGCGGCGCCTGCTGCGACTGGCGGCCGGCGTCCAGGCCTACTGTGCCTCCCGACACACTGCCACAGTTCATCTGGAGCCGCCGGAGACGGCTGCCGCGCCTCTGGCCAGGCTGGCGCTGCTCTGTCTGGAGGTGAGATAGGGGCAGAGAGTGGAGGGAGAAGAGGAGTCAGGCCGGAGGCGACGGCCCCGCAAGGGCTGTTGTAAGACCGTACGGTAAAGAAAACGCGCAATGGGTGATGTGATTTGAAGTGTGGAAGTAAACTCTGTAACCTATAACTGATTTTCTATTTACTTATCAATAGTTTGTCTTAACACGATGTGGCCCGTGTGATATGGGCCGTGATAGACGGTATGCGTAAATTTTGGTGATCATAGGCTGATTGAACGAAATGGATCCTCCGCCGCAGTTCCCCTATTTTCTAACCCCTTCTTTCTTACTGTCAGGCTCTACGCTACAGCGTGACCTGTCGTCTGCCGGAACTGCCGCGACACGTGCGCGTCCTGTTGGGCACCGCCGCCGGCTGCCTGCGACTCTCCTCTGTGCTGGCCGAGCTGGCTGCCAGGGACACCCAGTGGACGGTGCTGGCAGTCAACGCCATCTACCGGGTGACGCGCGTGCTGCGCGGTGCTCTGCCAGAGACGTGTGAGTGGGAGAGAGAAGAGAATGACAAGGGTGTTATGGGCTAAGGTTGATTGATGTGGGGTGACTAAGGAGCTGTTCGAAATGAAATGATTTTGTTGAGTAGGAGGAACTTACCGTTTATCAGCTGCCGCGATTCTACCGGCAATGTTTTATACTTACCGCCAAAAGCGAAAATGCTACTTTCGTCACCATCCATTTGACGTCCGCAGTTACTAAATAGACGCATTCCGAGTAACGTCTCACGCAGCCCGTTTGTATGTGTGCCTGCAGCGGTGTCGGCAGTGTCGACCGGCGTCGAGTCGCGGGTCTACCAGCGGATGGCCTCGCTGATGCTGTGGGCTGAGGCGCTTCAGGACAGACACGAGACAGCCGTCAAGATCAGGTCAGAAATCGACTGTAGCGCGACGAATATCGTTCGGCTCTGTTCGGCTCTGTTTATCGTTGGGGCATGCAGCTCCTGTTACATGTAGTTGCAGTTCCATACTAACTTTTGTTACCTTGATAGAATCATGTGTATGACAGTTCACCTTCTTTCTTCATCTCTTTCTTGTTCTTTTTTAACAGCGACATTGTCCGTTAAGTTTCTGTTTATGTGTAACCCGGCACCACACCCCGACAGGTCCGTGGTGCTGGCGGTGGGCCGCCTGCCCCTGCTCTCCAGTTTCCTGCGCGTTCCCCCGGACGTGTACCGTCTGGGCTGGGACGAGCAGGAGCGCCAGAGACAGGGCCGCTTCAGTCCGGTGGCCGTCCAGTACCTACAGGAGGCCGACGTGCTCAAACAGTACATCCTCAGGTGAGTATTCTTTCCAAGCCGCCGAGGTCAATTTAAGTGCGACTGAAATATTATGGCTGTGTCAGGCTTCGCGAGGATAATTAGTTTACATGCTGTTTAAGAAATCATGCCTTGCAGTCAGTCATACAAATGCCCTCCAAGTCTGTTTTTTTTTTCGGGAGGCCAGGCTCTTAGTGACATGAACTGTCTCTCTGGTTTTGTGTGTCTCGGATGATGCTGGGCATTGTGTCATATACTCCTCTAAACAAGGACGTGAGCACCCTGGACTAGATGGGCTGGACCGTCTCTGCGTGCCTCAGTGATGTTAAAGGAAGACTGCCACCTTCAAAAAGTTTTCTCAGATCGGCCTGTGATTTATTCCCTAGACAAAACAAAATTTTAGAATTCACCTGACAAAGTATCATCACGTGAATCGCGAAAAAAAAAATTGTCGATTTTCATACAATTATCAATCGGTTAATGTCTAGCGACAATGTTTACACATCACTAGACTTCAAGGTCATAAGATTATTACATTTTATTTGAAAAAGTAAGGTATTTTATGATTTACTAATATATGATTTCATGAGAAATTGGCCATGTTTAATTTATTTTGCATTTAAGTTCGTAAAACATTAAAAAAATCATGGCTCATTTGGAATGGGTCTGGCCCATGTTAAACCCCATTTCCTTCTCACCGGATGTCCGCGTTTCGTTCGATCACAGCTTTCTGATTCTTTTTCTCCCCTTTTTCGTTGTTTTTGCACCCGCAGGAACACAGCCGAGTTGGGCTAGTGTAAGGGGAGTGGCGTCCCCTCGGGTACCAGCCGGTTTTACTAGGCTAGGCGAGCCGACCCGTACCCCAGGACAACGGGATCCTGGAGGTTGAGCCCCCCACCGTGCGGAGCCAGTCGCGGTGGCTGGGCAACACGCCTCTTTGGCCCTGAGTTCTGTAAGGGCGGGACACTCAGTGGGGCGCCGCACTTGAGGAGCCATTCCCAGTCGTGATGCCGCCGGGGGTGGTGTCGGAGAGGTGTCGCCGGCGGGGTTCGGGCACTTGTGCTCGTCCTCCGTCGGTGGGACTGATCTGTCGCTGCCCCTGGCGGTGACTCGGCTAGGCGTCAAGGGAGGAGGCGGTATCCGACCGTGGGGGGTGGTGAGCCTCTCTCTCCCCCTCGGAAGGTGCCGCCAAGTCCCGTACAGTCAGCTCGGCCGTCCCAGGCCTTGTAGCGGCGCCGTTGCGGAGCGTCGGCGGCCGAGCTGGCGGAGACCAACTCTTTCACATGGATAACTTGACCGATCCCCCTTCCCCCCAGTCCAATCCCTCGGCCTCGGCCGGTCCTCGCCCGTTGGCCTCGGCCGACAGGCGAACGGTGCTCGAGAAAGGTCCACGATCTCCTAAGATCCTTATCTTCCGGAGCGCAGACAGGGAGCTGAGCTCTCTGTCGCCCTTCCAGCGGAAGGATGGCTGCGACCGGTTTGGTTCAATCGTTCGTTGTGACCGGATGCGTGATGGCGCGCTGGAGGTCGAGTTCAGGAAAAGCGAGGAGGCGGCGAAAGCGTTGGACGCTACTCGCTTCGTGTTCTCCGAGGGACGGGCATCCGGCCGGAGGCTCGTCTCCATCCCGCTTACAGTGGAGCCCCACCGCTCTAAGAACTCCTCACGAGGGGTCATTAACTGCTTCGATCTGAGGGGAGTGAGCGACGAGGACATTGCGGACGGGCTCGCCGATTTCGGCGTGACAGCGGCTCGCCGCATCATGACGAAGAGAGGCACGGTCTCGACCAACAACATCATTCTAACTTTTGACTCTACTGACTTGCCGAGTGAGATTCGCGTGGGCTACGTGAAGGTTCGCGTGCGGCCTTTCGTCCCAGCGCCCATGCGCTGCTTCCGCTGCCAACGTTTCGGCCACACAAAGGACAACTGCCGAGGAAGACCCACGTGCTCCAAGTGTGCTTCGCAGGACCACACTGACGAAACCTGTGACTCGGAGACCCCCCGATGCGTCAACTGCGGAGAGGGGCAGACGCCGCACTCCGCGTATGATAGGTCTTGCCCTGCATACGCCAAGGAGAAAGAGATCATGACCATCAAGGCTACCAGAAATTTGTCTTTCAAAGAGGCCCGGGAGGTGTACAACCAGAGTCACCCGAAGACCTCGTATGCCCAGAAGGTGAGAGTCACAAACTCTACCGATGCCTCCCAGATGAGTGTAGCACAGCTCGTGCAGCTTCTCAAACGATTCGGCCTCACCGTCGTAGCCACTGGTGACTCAGCGGACACCACGGCGCCTCGTGCGCCGCCGAGCAACACAGAGCAGGCTGCTCAAGAGTCAGTGTGGGGTCCACCCAGTCCCGCTCCAGCCGCGAACGGTGATGGAGACGGCTGGGCCGTCGTCCAGCGCCGACAGGGTGGTCGGCGCCCCCCGGCGCAGGGTAAGGCGCCACCCACCCCGCCCCGCCCCCGACCGCCCACGGCGGTGCAGGAGGCGCTGCGGCGGGGGGAGGAGGAGAGGAAGGCACGCGAGGCGAGGAGGGCTCGCCTCGTCCAGAAGGCCCTCGAGGCTAAGGAAGCCTCGTCTGCCGACTCCGCCTCCGGGAGTGCCAATGCGGCTGTTGCCGCTGACACCCCGGAGACACCTGAGGCGGGGACTCGGCCCATCATGGGTCCCCCGCCGCCTCCTCCACCTCCGCAGCGGCGGCCACCACCGCCGCTGCCAGAGACGCCTGAGTCGAGGACACAGGCCGCTGCCTCGACATCCCCGTCGGGGCGGCAACAGACCTCCGCGGCTCCAGGGCGCCTCGCCAAGCGGCAGACGCCCCCGAGCTGGTCACCCTCGGAGGGTGACGCCCCCCGGGCGAAAAAGCCCCAGCAGGGCTCGAGCCACGCCCGATCTGCCTCTGCTGAAGGGAGGCTACACCGAGAGGGCTCGGGGCATCCCCGTATCCGTTACGGGGGGAGCGCCTCCTCGGAGTTAGAGGACCTAGTCTAGTCTTTCAGTCTAGTCATTTCCTCTTTTATCCTTTTATCTTTTTCGCGCCATTGCGCTTTTTTACCAGGTGCATTTCTCTCGGTGCTTTTTACCTTTTTTTTTGTGGTCAGTCAGGTATCTGTGTGCGCCTTTGCCTCATGTTATACGCGCCCTTTTTGCGCCTTTTTAACCACGCCTTTTATTCTACAGTGGAACTGTAGAGGCCTCCGGGCCAACTACCAGGACCTACAGTCTCTTATCCGTTGGCGCACACCCCTTGTTTTAGGTCTCCAGGAGACCAAGCTAGCGCCAAACGTTACCTTTGCCATCAAGGGCTACTCTGTTTTTAGAAGAGACCTGGACACCCCTACCATTGCCCATGGAGGTGTGCTTCTGGCGGTTCACCACAGCGTACCTGCTCGCCAGGTGCCGCTGCAGACTCCCTTGCAGGCGGTGGCCGCCAGAGTTGATTTCAACCACCGGGAACTGACAGTGTGCTCTTTATACCTACCACCAGGTATAGCGCTCCCGGTGGTTGAGCTGCATCGACTTGTCGATGAGCTTCCACCTCCGGTCCTGGTAGTCGGCGATTTTAATGCCCATAGCCTGGCGTGGGGATGCGACACGACTGGCACTCGTGGTCGACTTTTAGAATCTTTTATCCGCGATGAGGCGCTGTGTATTTTAAATACAGGACAGCGCACCCATTTTACAACACCCTCCGGTCAAACATCGGCTCTGGACCTGAGCTTAGTCAGTCCGCGGCTAGCTCAGCTTTTTACCTGGTCCGTCCATCACGACCCACTCGGGAGCGACCACTTCCCAGTGTGGCTGGAGCACCAGGAGTCCCCAGTGTCAGGCAACCGTCCACCTAGGTGGAATGTTCGGAAAGCCGACTGGGGCGAATTCCAGGCCGCTGTAGAGGCCTCTGTTTTATCCAGAGCCGACCCCTCTGTGATGTCTACAGAGGATTTTACATGTTTACTCATTGACTCCGCAAACGGGTGCATACCCAAGACGTCGAGTCAGCCTCGTCGTCCTCCGGTCCCGTGGTGGACCAAGGAATGCGGAGATGCGATTCGTGCCAGGAAGCGCGCTTTTAGAAAGTTTGACCGGAGTAGTACTACTGAGAACCTCATCGCTTTTAAGAGAGCGCGGGCTTTTGCCCGACGCGTTTTAAAGGAGGCAAAGGCTGTTTCATGGCGCACTTACGTAAGTTCCTTAAACCGTTTTACTCCTACGACCCAGATATGGGCACGCATGAAGCGCATTGAAGGCCGGTTCAGCTCTGTTCCGCTTCCGGTTTTAAGAGTGAACAACACGGACATATCTCACCCTTCAGACGTCGCAGAGACGATAGGCCGTGCACTCTATCAGCGCTGCCGAGGAGAGCCGTCCTCACGACCTGCACCAGCCGCCGTGGACTTCAGCACAGCTGAAAATTTGGTGTACAACGAGCCTTTCTCTATGGCTGAACTCACGTCTGCCATCAGCTCGTTGCGCAGCGTCTCAGAAGGTCCGGATGCAGTCCACAACGACATGCTCCGTCATCTACCCACAGTTGCCCTCGAGGCGCTGCTAGAAACCTTCAATTCGCTTTGGGAGACTGGCACCTTCCCTGAGACCTGGCGGGAAGCCATTATCATTCCTATCTTGAAGGCTGGCAAGTCGGGACATGACCCTCTCCATTATCGGCCCATCTCTCTCACATCATCGCTTTCAAAGCTGATGGAGAAGATGGTCAATGTGCGTTTTAGCTGGTTTCTGGAACATCACGGTGTTTTTACAAACGCCCAGTGCGGTTTTAGAAAGCACCGCAGCCCTGTTGACCACATTTTAGCCCTTGACACCGAGATACGCACCTGTTTTACTGAAAAGAAGCACCTTGGAGCACTGTTCTTTGATATTGAGGCGGCCTATGATACAGTCTTACGACACAGCATACTTTCCAAAGTATATAAGTACGGCATACGCGGCCGGATGGGCCTCTTTATCAAGAATTTTTTATCGGGTCGTCGGTTTAACCCGCGCCCGGCTGGGGGTCCTGGATTTCCACGCCCTGCTGGGGGGGGGGGGGGGTGTTTGAACACCCCCCCTTGTAACTCGGCTCCTGGGCCACGTAGCGATACGCGGAAGGCGGCGTTCGAAAGAGCGTCAAAAATAATGACGAAATCACTTCGGTCAATTTTTTGGTCAGGTCAAAGGTCAGGTCACCAGAGGTCATTGAAGGCAAAATTTCGCCGATTTCCAGGTCGAATGTCGAAAATTTCCAAGAAGCCAACGCATAACTTGGGAACCAATAGAGCTACAGCGCCGCGGAAAAGCGCATTCGATAGCCCTATTAACGCCCTTTCTGAGTAATTTTCTCAGATTTGACCTAACGTCAACGGTTTTGCCTGCAGGGGGCAAAAACTGCAAAAATAGCCGATTTTTTCGAAAACAGTTTTTCTGCAATAACTTTTGACCCAAGCCTTGCACGAGCTTACTTTAACCGGCATCGTGTTCCTCTCGTCAAGACGCATCGAATGAACTATAACTTGACCTTGAAAGGTCAACTTGAAAAATTGACCTCAGGTCAAGGTCATGACCTGACCGGAAAGGGTCATGTTGCATATCAGTCGATCCGTATCGTCGAGCTGAACACATCTAAGGCGTTTTCATCGCTCTAGCATGCCTCTATCAAAAGTTATTTGCGAAAAACTGTTAGATACCATTCGTGACCTAAGATGACCTCAGGGCATAAACAAGGGTCACGGACACCATTTTCATGTTCAGTGTGTCTAAACCACTTGTAATTCGGTGTTTGGGAGTGTTTATAATGTCTTTCATCCAAAAGAGGCGCATTTCAATTTTCTCCCATTGACTTATAATGGGGAGGTCGCAAAATTGACCTGACCTTAGGTCATCGATATCAAAATTCTGAGATATACATTTTGTACATGCTATTGCTCTAAGCAATCGCTGAAAGTTACAAAGCGATCGGTCACTCGGTGTAGCTATGACAGACATTGAAAGTTTTTATGAGGTGAGGTCACTTCAAGTGACCTGGTGACCTGACCTTGAATGACCTTGGTCTGAAATTTTCACAACATGTGTAGAATTGATGTGTGATAAGGTGTACCAAAAACGGCGGCGCTCCGCGCGGCCGTTTTTGAGATATTCGCGAAAAACCACAAGGGGGGGTGTTCAAACACCCCCCCCCCCCCCAGCAGGGCGCGGGTTAAAGTCCGAGTTGGCAGTGATTTCTCGAGCAGTTTTACCCAGGAGAACGGAGTTCCCCAGGGTGGGGTGCTTAGTGTGGCGTTGTTCGCGGTGGCAATCAATGACATCGTCGACGACCTCCCGGTTTCCATCGGGAGATCGCTTTTTGTCGACGATTTTGCCATCTGGTTTGCTGCTTCAAGCGCTCGACACGCGGCTAGACAGCTGCAGCTCGCCGTAACACGTTTGGAGAGGTGGAGCGGTAAGAATGGTCTTCGTTTTTCCACAGCGAAGACCGTGGCAATGCACTTTTGCCGCCGACGTTGTGACGACCTAGCTTTGGGAATCAAGCTCTACGGACAGGTGATTCCCACTCGGCCGGTGGCGAAGTTTCTTGGGATTTATTTTGACAGTCGCTTGACGTATAAGGAACATTTTAGAACGCTTCGGGAACGGTGTTTTAAATCCCTGAACGTTTTAAAATGTGTTGCTCGCACATCTTATGGGGCGGACCGCAGGACCCTTCTTCTCCTGTACCGATCGATAGTTCGGTCGAAGCTGGATTACGCTTCTTTTGTGTACGATTCAGCGAGCCAATCCAGCAAAAAGGTCCTCGACGCAGTCCATCATGCTGCAATCCGTGTCGCCACCGGAGCCTTCCGCACCTCGCCCAGCAGCAGCCTTCTTGCTGAGGCGCACGAGCCGCCTCTATCCCTACGCCGCCAGATGCTTGGGATGCGCTATGCGCTGAAACTGCGTCAGTTCCCGACGCATCCGACGTATCCGTACGTCTTCTCCACCTACTACACTCGACTTGACAGAGCGCGACAATCGCTCTGCTTTGGAGCGCGCATGAGAGGTCTCTTCTCCGCAGCCAACATAGGTTTACGTGTCGTACGACGTAGCTGGGGTACGTCCTCTCCGCCTTGGAAACACGCAAAACCTCAAGTAGATCTCTCACTCTCCGAAGTTAAGAAGGATGACTTGCTGCCTTGTGAGGCGCGAGTCAGGGCCTTGCAACACATCGTCTCGTACGATGGTTTTAACACCGTTTTTACAGACGGATCAAAAACACCTGAGGGAGTGGGATGTGCTTTTATCGCAGGTCGCGATACCCGCTCATTCTCTCTACCTTCTTTTGCCTCGGTGTTTTCATCTGAGCTAGTCGCCATCGAGAAGGCTCTGTGTTTTATCGAGGTGTCGGACGGCCTTTCTTACTTGATTTTATCGGACTCCCTAAGTAGCCTTTTGGCGTTACGGAGTTTTAATCCAGTTGACCCGATCGTTCAAGACATTTTAGCTCGACTTCAGTCAGTGGAACAATCGGGAAAATTTGTTCAGTTCTGCTGGATTCCCAGCCACGTCGGCATACACGGCAACGAGCTGGCAGATGCGGCCGCGAGGCGCGCGGCCGCAGCCTCCTGCACTCGACGTCTGCCATTGCCGGCGCGTGACCTTTATTCGGCTGTGCGATCTTTCATTCTCTCTGAGTGGCAGGCAGAGTGGAGCCTACGTGGAGGCGGAAAGCTCCGTGAGGTGAAGCCGACTTTGGAGCCATGGAGGTCTTGCTTGCAAGACAACCGGTCCAACGAGGTGATCTTGTGCAGGCTCCGAATCGGCCATACATATGCCACGCATGGCCACCTCCTCCGCGGAGACGAGCAGGCCATTTGCAACGGTTGTTCCGCGCCTCTTACCGTCGCTCACGTGCTCTTATCTTGTCCACTTCTAGAACCAGACCGGACGCGCTACCTCGGCCGCATCGCTCCGGCTACCACTGTCCGCCACCTGCTGGGTGACGAGTCACCCTGGGTCTTATCTGGCAACATCTTTTCCTTTATCCGCGCAGTCAAATTCAAAGCGATTTACTCGACCTAACCCAAATCCTCTCTAGTCTCCTTGTCTAGTCAGTTGTCTATTACGACGCTCTTGCGTTGTTTTATTTTACCCTGTCTTTTTTTATAAAGTCTTACTTTCTAGTCTTGATATCTAGAAAGTTTCTTCTTTTGAAACACTTGTTTTACTAGCGCGACGTTATGGGCGCAAAATGACCTTTGCAGTCGACGCGCCCTAAAGCCCCAATAAACAAACAAACAAAACCCCATTTCCCACACTTTTTTGGAAAAAATGAACTACTGAATATATAAGTTTAACTTTTATTTTGACACTCCAAAATTCTTCTCTGATCTCGAAACAATCAAAGTTTTGACATATATTTACCAAAAGATAAGAAAATTCATGTTTCAAAGTTATCGATAAACAGTAGAGATGTCGGTTTTCTTGGACTAAAAAAATGGCATCAAACTGAACTTTGGTCTCCGATTTCTCGCAAACGGGTTCGAATTTCGGAAAACCGACTTCAGTCTGGGACATAGGTGGCTCAGCTCTAGTGAAAACCGTTTTGTGGAAAAAAGGTGGCAGTCTACCTTTTAAGATATTGACACATGTCTCTCCCCCAAACAGGGTGAACACTCTGGGCTGGACGGGCCGCCGTGAGTTCGAGGAGACCTGGATGACTTACCTCTCTGTGCTGAACGCGGCAACTGAGGATGACACCTCCAACCGCGAGGAACTGGCCGTCCTGCTACAGGTCAGGGTCACAGGGTCAGGTCAAGGTCACAGGGTCAGGTCAAGGTCACAGGGTCTGGTTATGGACCAGGGGCCACCGAGGATGACACCTCCAACCGAGAGGAACTGGCCGTCCTGCTGCAGGTCAGGGGCACAGGATCGGGTCAGGGTTACGGAGTCATCAGTTGCAAAGGGCTGGATGGTGGAGTGTGCTCAGCTCAGACATTGGCACCATGACTGGCTAAAGCAGTAGTGGTTATCTTTACCATTGTTTGCTCCTAAGCCTTTGCGAAACTTCACTGCTTGCTCTGAAGTCACTGACGTTTCCCTGTACTCCGTCACAGACCAACTGCCTGGCGGTGCGCGGCATCACCTCGCTGCTACTGCAGACGCTCACCGCCATGACGCCGGGCTACCCGGAGGTCAGCGCCACGCTGCACTACCCCCGAGACCACCAGCCTGTGTTCGTGCCAGGGAGGTGAGTGAGGCGGGTGGCAGCCGTGTGTGAATGGTGGACGTCACTTGTTAGGATGGAGCCGGGAAGGGCTGTGACAGGGGGCATGTGCGAAGGGCCGCGATGGGTGCCTCTTGTGAGAGCGGGGAGGGCGTTGCAGCTCTAGAGGTAGGTCGACTTGGAGCACGCAAATGACCCGAAGACCTTCACTTGCTGTTCTTCGTTGCCTGGGTTGCGTGCAGGCATCGTTTGCTGGTTCATTACATTCACTGCCCAGCTGATGTGTCTGACATTAGTCCTCCTCCCAGCTCCATCATGCACCTGCACCGGACACTACAGCAGCTGGAGGCGGCAGTGGCTGCCTCGCCACTGCTGCCGCCCATGGTGTTCGCTCGGCAGCTCAACCTGGAGCGGCGCCACGACGCGGGGAGCTATGGACACGGACAGCTGTCGCTGCGCTATCTGCAGGGAGTCATCAGCGGCAACAGTGAGTGGGGAGCGGGGATGAAGTGGGCGGGGAACGAAATGGAACCCCATGTCTGTTGCTTAGTTTTTAGCAATGCGTCAGCCTTAGATTGCGAAATGCTACTGCCAAAATGTTTTCCGTTTTGACCTTTTTCTGTCTAGCATTAACCTTCGCCCCAGTGGGGGGGGGGGGGCATATGTTACCACCCTGTCGCGTTTTTTGCGTGTAAATAAAAAACCGCGGCGCGTAGCGCCGCGCCGCTTGGGGTAGCTTTTGGTACATCAATTTTGGACAATGTGTGAAATTTTTAACCCCAGGTCGTGTCAGGTCAGGTCACCAGGTCAAGTTAACTGACCAAGCCTAAAAAAAGTTTGCAATCATGTCCAGCCTGCAGTGTTTGTCGGAAAGGTTTAAACTTGGTGGATTGCATGATGTTATGGGCGCATACAATTTGTATATCTCTGATTTTTTATATCCGTGACCTAAGGTCAGGTCAGTGGCGTGAACTTTCCATTACAAGTCAATGGAGAAAAATGAAAATGCCTCTAGATCCGTGTGTACGCATAGGAACAGTCCAAATATTTCAGAATCACAATGATTTGGACCACCCGTGATGACCAAGGTGTCATTTTTGCTGATAGCCTCTAGAAAGGTCATCCGAGGTCATTTGAGGCTACAAACAGTTTTTTTTGGCAATAACTCGAGATTGGAAAGAGATAGAACGCTGGGGATGGTCTCATTGTGTTTGTCTTGCCGAGACGCATCGACTGATATGGAACATGACCTTTTCTGGTCAGGTCATGACCTTGACCTGAGGTCAAATTTTCAAGTTGACCTTTCAAGGTCAAATTATAGTTCATTCGACGCGTCTCGGCGAGAGGAACACGATTCTGGCAATAGAAATGTCGTGGCTTTTTGTAGTCGAAAGTTATTGTCGAAAAACACTTTTCGTAAAAACAGCTATTTTTGGAGTTTTTGCCCTCTGGAGGCTAAATCGTTGACCTGAGGTCAATTTTGATAATGACTTTATCAAAAGAAGAGTTCAAAAGCTATCGATTGCTGTTCGATGCGTTTTTCTAGCTACCATAGTTCCTGAGATAACGGCATGTTTTCTGAAAAATATAATGACCATTGGCAAATTTTGACCTTTGATGACCTCTGGTGACCCCAATATTGCTCTAAGATGAAAAATGACCGAATACTTTCAAACGTACGCATTGAGAGCTATCGACTGCTTTTTACTGCGTCTTTCTATCCCTCTTAGTTTTTGAGTTAGAGGTGGGTGGTAACATATGCCCCCCCCCCCCCACTAGGGCGAAGTTGGCTGAGACCGCCACTGGGGCGCGGGTTAATGCTAAAGTGGTTCGCAAAGATGAAGCGCACGCCAACAGATTTTGACTTATCATTAGCTTTTGTTTTGCCTGCCACTCATATTTAGCTCGTAGGTTCTTAGGTGCTGGTAGATTGGTTGTTTATCTCCTGCCTGCCTATTGACCGCCTTGGCTCTCCGTCTGTCTCAGACGGCGCCCACTCGGGCCGCGAGGTGGCGCTGGCGGCCGCCGGCCTGGACATCAACTCGTGCCTGGTGTTCCTGCTGCAGCTGTACGCCCAGTGGACGGCGCCGGAGGTGAGTGAGCCCGGTGACGCATGAAGAAAATGACTGGGTGAGGCGTGATTTCGTCCCTCCATTTAAAGACAATATAGCAACCGCTTCCCCTCCGTCCGAATATGTGCGTGCCGCCGCTAACTGTTCCCTCCCTCCAACCTAAGATGGGCATGCCTCTGGCTGTCCTCCACAACCCCCGAAAAAAGTGTTGTTCCGCTTTTGACCACCCCTCCATCCGTTCTCAGACACGCGTCCCGCCGCTCACCTCCCTCCCCCTCGTCCTCAGATGTTGGGTGTACTGCTGCTGACACCCCCCCCCCTCGTCCCCTCAGATGGGCGTGCCGCTGCCGTTTCTGACACCCCCCCCCTCGTCCCCTCAGATGGGCGTACCGCTGCCGCTGCTCACCGAGACGCTCCGTTCAGCGGTCCTGCTCTCAGACCTACTGACCGAGCGCGGCCAGTTCGAGTGGCTGCTGGCCACCTGCGTCTCGCTCTACCAGCTCCACCCGGTCGATGACGAGATAATGCTACAGTACCTGGTGCTCGGACTCTGCAAGGCGGCCGCGGTCCTGAATGCCGTGAGTGACGGACGTTGGGGATGGTAGGCTGCTGGGCTTCATGTGTGGAACAGAGCTGTCATCCGTATGTTCATCTCAGAGAACCTTATGCAATCTGGCCTCTCTGTTGCTCGTCCCTGCTATTACAGTCCTTGGTGCAATTATTACCCTCTAGCCTCACAATGTCGCCGCTACAGACCTTTCGTTTTCCTGATATGAGAGGTCACGGTCATTGGTGAGGTGCCTCACATCTGACAATCTATCTCTGCTCTCTAACATCTTTGTCCCGCCAACAGGAGGAATCTACAGTAGTTGAGACAGTCCGCCGCGCTGTGGAGCACGGCCTCCGCTGTCCGCTGCCGCCGGTACGCAGCGCCACCGTACACGGCTGTCTGTACCTGCTGCAGCTGGGACAGGGCGAGCTGAGCAGCGCAGTACTGCCGCCGCTAGGAGAGTTCGTACAGCGCAGCCTGCACCACATCGCCACGTGAGTCCGAGTGTGTGAGGCAGGACTGGTGAGGTTTGGAAGTTTGGTTTGGACTGTTGAAGGAAAAGTCGTGTCAAGGCTAAGCGGCGAATAAGCATGGGTAAATGAATGAATGAATGAATGAATGACTAGTTGGAGGGGATGCTGGGAGTGGTGCTGAGCTTTGGGTCGTACGCCATTTATATTCTGTTCTTTAGTTATCAAGCGCGCTTATTGTGTTCTCCAATCCAGTGACCTGTCGGAATTTTCTCTAAATCTTTCTCTTCTAAATTTTTCTCTAAATATAAATCTAAATCACCTGATCTCCCTCCGCTGGCTACCACTGTTTGACTCTTCCTTCTTTCTCTCAGTGTGCCCGGCTACAACGACGACCACGACCTGTCGGTGTGGGCGGCGGCCGTGTACGTGTTGCAGCACTACGACGACGGCCTGGCCGAGTCCGAGTTCTCGCCGGCCGTACTGCAGCTGGCGCTCGGACTGGCCGGCAGCACCCGATCCTCGGCGCTCTATGAGGCTCTCATGAAGGTGAGTGATGTGTCATAGGTTACCCCACTCCTCAGCGCTGTATGAGGCACTCACGAAGGTGAGTGACAGCCCAGGGCTCAGATCCAGATGAGTCATCCGATCCTGGAAGCTCTATGTTTCACTCAGGAAGTCCAGCGACATGTCAGAGCTGGTCAGGTCAGCGACTGACTGGTCTGATACTCGATGTCGATGCTCGCGTAAGTCATTGCGACGACGTGATCATGCGTAACGTCAAATATGTATGTTAGCGTTGGGCGCATTGTATAACTTACGGGCGTTATGTGCCTTTAATAGTTCGTAACATGTTCTATATATTCCTGGCCGCAGGGCATTGAGCGTCTGGTGGTGTGCGGCACGGTGAGCGCCGCCGCCGGGCCCCTGGAGCTGGCCGTGGAGCAGCTCAGGTCCCGCTCCGGCCCCGGGCAGCTGCACGCCCTCTCCCTGCTCACAGCGTGTCTGTTCTCCGGACCGGCCGCTGCCGGCGCGCACACCACACCAGAGACGTTCATACACGTGCTGGAAAAGTACTCCAACGTGTTCACAAAGTGAGTGGCTGGACAGGGCGTGTGGGATTGGGAAGGTTTGAAAGTGTAGAAAATGTGCCATCATGTTTCGTTGATTTATTTTCACAATAAGAAATGATTTCGAAAAGAAACAAACCTTATTGCAGAAATATTGTGAGTGGAAGTTGAGCTTATTCGTGCGCGTGGTTCCTCCTAGTCCGTTGTCAGGTGTACCACCTGCAGTTCATTGATGCCTGAAGTCCCTACTATTGGGAACCTTCGCCCTCCTCTGCTCTGACCGACCGCCTCTCTCCTCACCCGCCAGGATGAAGGCCACGCCGGGCTTCCTGTCGACGGTGCTGTGCAGCTCGGTCACCTCGGGCCTGCTGCAGCTCTGTCCGCCCTCCGAGGTCATGAACCGAGTCATTGGAGAGTTCATATCGCCCCACCAGAGCCACGTGCTGGCACTGGCCGACACAGTTTTCCAGGTAAGGTGACACGGGTGACGGGACCGTGGTGTGCCGGGATTACTGAGGGGTTGGGACAAGGCGTGTGGCACTGACCGTGACGAAACAATGTCCAGTGGCTATTAATTTTCCGTGAATTTGTTGTGAAAATTGATCAAATTAATGACTATACGTGTACGTTTACCTGTGACTTTATACACATATTATATCAGTTTATGTAATTGTTACGCTCAAACGAGTACATTCTGTCGTCTTCCACGTACTATTTCATATGACCCCCGTCCCAGCTGACGTTTATTTCCTGACACTCCCTCTCCGTCTTTCGCCAGGTGTTTGAGGCGTGCGTGAGCCAGCAGCAGGAGGCGCTGCTCCAGGACTGGGTGCTCTTCAGTCTGCCCAATTTCGCCACGGCGCGTCCCTCTGCTCGCTCCACGTGGCTACTGTCCTGTTTCCTGGCCGGAGCCAGCCGGCGGCCGTGGCTGCGGGCCGCCTTCCCTCTGCTGCAGGTAAGGGCGGAGAGGAGGGACAGAGAAGGAGGAGGCACTGCAGGACAGACCGGAGATGGAGACTAGAGAGCGATGATGGGCTGCGGGAGGTGGTCGATTAGGGATGTTTTATATATTGCTAAGGCGTCACGGATAATTTAAATGGAGTGCACTTTCTTCTACAGTCAGTAGATTGAAAAGTTATCTTTTACAGTCAGTAGATTGAAAAGTTACTTGCTGACGGTAATGTATACGTATGCTAAGATCACGTAACCCACGGCTTTTCTGGTCCCTGATTCCATATCTAATGGCGATAGTTATGCTGCCCCATTGTGTTGCCATTCCTGTGACGCCGAGGCCCTCTGACTCCCTGTTACGGTCCATGTGACAACCCCCTCCCCGTTCCTCTTGCGCAGCGGTGTGGCGACGAGGTGGACCTGGCCGGCGGCCGGTGTCCGCAGCTGGCGCAGCTCTTCCTGGCGGCCGCCACCGACTTCTACTCCCAGGTGAGTTACAGCGGTCTGTCGCCCGCACACCCCAACGTGGCTGGTCGCCGCTCAAACATTGACCAGTGCTCCCAGGTTAGTGCCGGTCTGTTAACGAGAACCCTACAGTGGCAGGTTGCCGCTCACATCCACCAACCAATAAACATGCAGTGCTCTGAGTGTCTGCCTGCCACCCAGGCCCCACTGCGAAGGGTCGCCATTTAAATACAGCGGCTGGTGTCTGGTGACCATGCGTTGCTCTGGATCCTTACGTCCGTCATAGGCGGCGGAACGGGGAGGGCACCGGGGCACCGTGCCCCCCCCCCCCTTTGCTTTTTGCATTTTAACATTAGCTCTGTGGGTGTTGCATGGAAAGAATGGGACCGAAAGTCGGCAGTGTCCCCCTTAATTGAGGGTGTTCCGCCGCTACTGACGTCCGTCTATGTGGCATGTCTATGAAAGTCTAGTCACTCTCTCACCATGGCCGTCAGGCTCACATGCGTTGACGTGCAGTACTCTGGTGTCTCTGCTAGTCTATGTTCCGCTCAACTGCCCACTTCGACCGACTGTTGAGTGTCGGGCTGACATCCAGCGGTGGCGCGGTGTTTTGTAATGCCAGCAGACAGTCTGGGAGAGGTCGTGGAGACATGTATTAATATTCGGTCGGCGTATGAGGTATGCAGCGCTAGTCGGTTATGTTCAGTCTACAAGTGATCGACTTTCTAATCCTTCTTTGTTATTGATTAATTAAGAGCTGGAATTATGGGAGTTTTCCATAAGCAGTTAGCGCGTGCAGCCTTCATCGAAAGATAGCAGCCCTGCCCTTGCTCAGGTGCTGCCCGCTGGAGCGACCCTGTGTTCGTCATTGATCCTCTCCTTGGACCATCACTGATGCTTTTCCGAGTCCTGATCTTGTCCCAGGGTCAGATCTATCACTGATCCTGTCCCGGATCTATCACTGATTCTCGGGTCCATCACTGATCTTGTCCTGGGTTCGTTACTGATCCTCTCTGGGCTCGTTACTGATTCTCCTCTGGGTCCGGCGCCGACGGCTCGTCGCCCTCGTCCAATCCTGGCCGTCGCCCGCAGAACCAGGGGCGCGGTTTCAGGCGGCGTATCCCCTCCATGATCTCGTCAAACGTCATCAGCGGTATATCGATGGTGTACACCGTGGCCTTGGGGTCCTGTTCCGGCACTGGAGTGGCGACCTGCGGTGGCCTGTCATCCAGGACGAACGCTGGCCTCCCCTCGTCCATGGAGAGGCTGAGATATCCACCGTCCAGCCGTCGGGCCTGTCCGCCCGATGAGAACCGTCCATCGGTCAGTTCCACCGTCTCTGTCAGCACGTGACGCCGTATGAAGGCCCGCTGAAACTCCGGGTCGCCGCGAAACGGGTTGGGCAGGTCACAGGGAACGACCAGTCGCATACCGTCCTCTGACGCGGCTAGCACGGTGAACGGCCCGGGGAACGGCACCAGACCGGCGGACTTGTCCTCCTCCAGCACCGAGCGCCAGATGCGGACGAACGCGCCCGTCCCCGAGCCGTCGTCGGGCGAGCGACCCAGCATCCTGTCTTCAAAAGACACCTCGGCCAGCCCCGACAGGAGGCCGGCCGGGATCTCGGGCACCCCATGACTCTCCGACATCTGAAATGGAATGGTGGGGTCTCAGCTATCTGGTTAACTTCCTGGAAAGATGTGATATTCTTTTTAGCGTGATCAGTATAAACTGTAGGGTGAATTACCTATTCATACGAGCAAATCCAAACGAATTTCGTGATTTTTTTACTGTGCCATTCGTGAGAAAGAAATGATACTTAGCTTTGTGAACAAATACAGGACTCAATCGAACATTAGGACCTTCATTTCAGTCGCATTATTTACGTTACTGAAGTACATGAGTGCCAGCTTGTTAATAATTTAATAACTATCACAAGGTTCAAGCTGAGATCTTTCCTCGATTGTAATTAATATTTTGATTAAAAACGTTCGCCGTGGAAGTCAACACTGAATCAAGCCTCCACACTATGTAAGTCACAGTAAGTATTGCGAAGCCATTCGTCCACCTACCTCGATCAGTTTTGCTCGGTGAACGCCGCGCTACGCCGCCTTCGTTAGCCGCACTGTCAAGTCTCCGCTCTTCAGGGAGTCCCAGCGCCAATATCAGACCGGCAGTTCGAACGGTACTCAGCTCTCCGTCCGCCCATTGGAGACTGTCTCCACCCGCTGCAGCGGGCCCCCGTCCCCGCCATGCAAGTCGTCGGCTGCAGCCAAGGCCAGCCCGGCGGCCGGCCGGCCACCGCCCTAATGCTGGGTGTGCGACGCCACCGTCGGGGCAAGGTGACGTCATATCGGTACCGGCTGGTGGCCCCAACGTTACTTCCCAACTTTCGCACAACAAAAATGCGGTGCCCAAAGCAAAACTGAGTCACGCAGTACAAAAGGCAACAGCTCAGTGAATGCACTCCGAAAGCAGTGAGAGGACGGTAGGTATTCGGCAGCGGGCAGCTGGCAACAGGGATTGTTGTCGGAGGTCATTTCAAGGTCGCAACCGGCGCTGCAAACAGAGCCGTCTGCGGGGGTTGCAAACAGATTCTGTCGGACCGCCGACCGGTACAGCGGACGGCATAAATGTCGCCCGTTGGCTGACTGTGGGGGCCAAGGCGTGGGGGCGGGGATGGCGTCTGGGTGTGTCGGAGATCGGTGCGTGCTTCGAAGAGCGAAAAGTCTGACATACCGAGTTTATTATGTATTTGTCTTCAATGGCGAAAGTATTTACGTTGGTAGAGTACGACAATGAAATTTACGTGACAATAAAGGCCACTTTTTGCCATTTCAGTTATTATGACGAATCACGCGCGCATATGACTAGGAATAGCTAACCGCACTGGTTTTTACACAGCATAATGGAACAACATGCAACATCCACCGAGCAGGCCTCCATTGTTTTTCATCCGAGCCCCAAAACCCTGTTGCAAAGGTGATAGTTGGCCATTTGTGTTACATCTAGGCTCGTCCCTGTGTTGATAATGGCAATAGGACTTCACAGACCCACAAAAAACCAAAAGTGGGTGGAGGTTTCCGCAAGTCGCAGCCCCTCCCTCACCTCCGTGACTGGAAACCCTCGCTCCCTGCCAAATCTTTCCCCGCCCCACCCTCCCGCTCCTGACTGCGACGTGTCACTCATGACTGGGACATGCCGCTCCTGACTGCGACGGGTCGCTCCTGGCTGTTACGGACCGCTGCCCCTACTGTTTCGGCTCCGGCACGGGCGGCTCGGGAGGCCCGGGGGGACAGAACGGGTTGGTCTGCGGGTGCCGACCGATGGCGTCCGACACCTCGCTGCAGCTGACGAACGGCGTCTCGACGATGTAGACCGTTACGTCTCCCTCCTGCAGCGGCGGCCGGCTGGCGACGGCCGGCGGCGAGTCGCCGAGACAGAACGCCGGGTCGTCGCCGAGCTTTGTCAGCTTCACCTCCTCCCCGGCCAGGGTGGCCGCCCGGCCGTCGGCGGCGAACCTGCTGTCGGCGGGCGGTACCGACTCGGTGATCACGTGCCGACGGAGCAGAGTTCGCTGCAGCTGCTGGTCCACCATGAACGGGTCGGAGACGTCGCAGGGTCGGATCCGGCACAGACCGCCGTCAGTGACGACCAGCACGGTGTGCGGACCGCTCAGAGGGCTCAGCCCGTCGGCGGCGTCCCAGGCGAGCACGCGCCGCCACAGCGCCAGGAACTCGTCCACGTGCTGTGCCGTGCTGAGCACGCCAGGTACGGCCGGCACGCCGCTTCCGGAGGACATCTGCAGGGGGACCGGGGCGGTGTCAGCGGGTGAGGTCGGTGGAGAAGGGCGTGGGACGTGGACACAGCGGACAGATAACGTCCATTGAGGAAACTCGCTGGAATGATACCCAAACAGAGTATGCTAGTCGTTTTTGAGGCGTTTTTAAGGCACTTGTGCTAAGAAAGCACGCATCGGCCTGGCTGTGACCGTATGTTCAAAGTCTTAAAAAGCACGTGATTCGTTTTTTAAAACATAATGTGCACTCATGGCCGAGTGACAAAAAAGTAGTCCGCGATTTCACCTTCAAACTTAAGAAAATATAATGGAACTGGCCTAGCCTACCGTCCATTTCGCATGGCCTTGCATTCCGCCCTTTAACAGCTCCTCTGCCGCCTCACCTTGTCTCTGATCGAGGAGTCTTCCCTCAGCGTCGATCACGGGCCTGTGCGCGTGCCACACCCTTCCGCTACAACCTCTCTACCACAACTGGCACGACTGGCACCGCCGTCGCTGCCGCAGCTGTCGGCCACTCCGTCCTCAGAGACTGATCATCAGGCGTGTGACGTCATCCACGCTAACGCGGGTCCCGCCCCTCTGAGTCACCGCTTTTGCCAAACTGCGCGGCGCCCGGCGGCGCTGGTCCTGTATGACGTCATATCGCCGGTTGGGTGCCTCAAGGCCACGCCCTTCCGTCGGTCGACTGGAGAGAGGGGGTAAGAGGGGGGAGGATCGACGCTGCGGGCGCCCGCTGCTATCGGCGGTCGACACGCACCGAGGGGTCCCGTACGTTTTTGCTGGTCGATGCGGCAGACAGCTTGTCGCGAGCCGTTGAGTCGACCTTTTAGCGGTCATCACGATGAAAGACTGTTCAGTCGAGAGTTTGGTGTTTCATCGTGGAGGGTCATCGGCATCGCCATTATCAGAAATATCTTTCACGTGAACTAATCATATGTTGCGCCTGAGCTGTGGACTGCTTGGATTGGGATGGTGTAGCACGGAGAGGTGATGTGATGTGAATTTCGCAACTCTATGACACACTGCCCAGTAAACATGCCGACGTCGGGCCGAGGCTCGGCCCGACGTCGGCCCAACGTCGGTTCAACCTCGGCCCGACATCGGCTGGACGTCGGATATGCCCGCATGTTCCGACGTCCAGCCGAAGTCCAGCCGACGTCGAGCCGACGTCGGGCCGAGATCGTTTGCCGAGGTTGACGAGATCGTTTGTCGTTGGACCGACGGGGCCGACGTCGGCATGTTTATTGGGACAACGCGTCAAAAATATCAACCGGAGGCGGGATTCGAGCCCCCCAGTCGCCGACGTCGGCATGTTTACTGGGACAACACGCCAAAAGCAGCAGCCGGCGATGGGATTCGAACCACGTGTCATTCGAACACGAGGTTAGTGCGCTAACCACTACACCACGCATCCAGCTAACTAATTTGGTTTGTTTTGTTGGGTTATGCCCTTTCGGTCTGACAAGACTATTTCAGACCCGGAAGGATCATAGGATGGAGACATTGGTCTTCTTGGCGAGCACCCTGGGTCCAGTTCATATAGAGTCCCTGGTCCCATTGCTGTTACGTAAAGGGCGACCCCACAATGGATTCATATAGCCACTCTTACACACATGCACCAACGTTTCCCAAAGTGTCTGTACTGTGTTGTACTGTGTACTGGCAGCGCTGATCTGTTTCGCCGGCTCGCTCATGTTGGCGCGCGCGCAGGCGGGTCAAGGTTCGGATGTGCCGGCGGCCGGCAGCGGCGAGGGCCATCTGCAGCGGCCGCCGGGCAGTGGGAGTCAGGCGGAGGGGAGGATCGGGTTTGCGCGTCGTTCGGTGTGCACTGTGCACTGTGCCATGCCGACCGCGGCAGTGGAAATACAGTTCCGGCTTACAGTGTCCCTTTGATAAGTGGCACTTTGGCAAAGTGACACTTGCCGACTGGCCTTTCTATATGAACTGGGCCCGGCCCTGGTGAGTTGCCGGGGCTGAGCCTGACCAAAGGATAGGCCGAGCAGCCCCCAAGCACTCACCGCAACCGGCTACGGGCGAGCTCGGCTTACGGGCAATCCCAAATGGGAATGGGATAAAGTTTCCCGTCCAGTCCGGATCAGGGGGTTGCGGCGTGGAGGAAGATTTGAGTTTCCTGAGGATATTTTGAATACAGAAGCTCTTTATGAAACACGAAACATGTATTTTATATTATTTTAACGGTCAAAACAGCGGCCGATGTCGGTCCGACGTCGCCCCGACGTCGGCCCGACGTCGGCTGGACCTCAGCAATTGATCTCGGTCCGACGTCGGCCCGACGTCGGCTGGACCTCGGCTGGACGTCGGAACATGCGGGCATATCCGACATCCAGCCGACGTCGTGCCGAGTTTGGACCGACGTCGGGCCGACGTCGGCATGCCGATGCCGAGTTGCCGACGTCACCCCGACGTCGGCCGACGTCGGGCCGACGTCGGCATGTTTACTGGGTGCTGTTTGTGACACAGTGCATCATGTGCATTTGTTATGAATCACGTCCCATGTGACTCTGCCGTATGTACAATCCATTTTCTTTCCCATTGTCACCATCCGTCAGCCGGCCCCCGGACAGCTCACACCTGAGGGAGGGAGAGGGACGGAGGGGAGGGGGAGGGTCTGTCTGGTAGTCCGCCACAGGTGTCCGTTCCTGCAGCGCCTCACGGCGATGTCAGTGTCACCTCCCATCCGTCACCCCCCGGGCCATTCCGGATCTGTTCTGTACCACTTTCAGCTGGTGTTGTACTGGCATTGTGGCACCGACACCGAGCGATAAATCGCCCTGACACAGCTGTGGCGGTGTACCGGCGACAGGGCTGGTGCTGTGGCGATGGCGCGGTCTGCGGTGGAACGGTCGACAGGACAAAAACGTCGCATGTTTGTGGCTGATGTGGATTGTAATTACCAGAAATGTTTGGCAACGGTGCCGCAGCCGTGTCAACACGGAAGCGACCATACGCTTTCGGCTTTCCTTTAGTCTGTAATTTTCATATACATCGTTTCTCTCGTCCCGTGCCCTTCTGCATTAGTGCCGCATTGCATCGCTCATCCCCGTGTTCGTTTGTTTCAGCTGTCGGAGTCTCAGCGGCGCCAGTTCATCGCAGCTGTCGAGACGCCGGCATCTGGCGGCGACCCCACGTACAAACAGCTGCTGTTGACGCTGACAGATGGCAGCACCGTGTCGGCCACCAGCGGCTGACCGGGCGGGGGAGGTGGCGTCTCTCTGAGGGAGGTAAAGAGTAGACGGTAGTGTAGACGGGCACTGTGCTGCTGAGCTCTGAGGATACAGGGTATACTGTGAGGCTCGGCGTAGGTTAGAGATCCAGAGTTCCGGTGCCAATATTTTGACCCTACTCGGAGGGAGGCGGGCGCTGTATTTTCGAAGGGACCTGAGTTGATCTGCGCCCCTCTGGGCGTTAGATGCTGGTAGTTCGAAGGTAGTGTAGTGAGTGAGCTGTTGAATCAACAGTAGTCGGTATATCCGTATATGTATATTATCTGGAGACCGGGAGCTGGCCGTTGGACAAGTCGATCACCAGAGGCGGTATTCAGAGTATTTATCCTAACCAATGTGGCGTGCTGGCATGTGGTCCTCCTAGACCACCATCCATCTCCCAGTGTGTGTTCTGTGCCAATATCGGGAGCACCGGAGCCCGGAAAGTCCTCTGTTAGTAGGCCCCATGCCCGACACTTGCCCGACACTTGCGGCATCTCGTTTGTTTCTCGCACATCCAGCTCGCTTCAGGACAGACCGTCCCACCCGACAGTGTGTCGCCTTGGCCCTTGATTTAGCCTCGCACCCACAACAGCTGCGTTTGTGATATGACCGGCGCGAGAACGATGACTTTTGTTGCGTGCGGCGCACCGCATCCTGCTTTCCTTTGTCACTGTGATAAACTCGCGAGTCGGTGTCGTTTATTTACAGAGCCGGTGACTGTTGTGTTGTCTGTTGTCTGTTTGGTTAGCTGAACTGGGTGGGGGATCGGTTGGGCTAATGAGCGTCGAAACTAAGGGGGCTGTCACTGGCCAGCTCGATCGGTGGAACCCAGCCGTGTGAGGAAAGACGACACTATGTCGAAATATATCCCGTGTGAAACTGAATGCAGTCTGTTGTTGGAAGATGACTGTGCGCTCGCTGGATGTCCTCAGAAACGGCATTAGCTCAGCAAAGGCCGTCCCACACTGAACCTCGCATGCGGGATTGCGGGTGGCGAGTCTGCAGGTTTTGGATTCGCGGGTATAATACTCATTCATGGAGTGATCAAACTATTCTCTGATGGTCACTACATGAATGCAGTGAAGCCGGTACACCCTCAGAAAATTGCATATTATCGCAATAACAGCACAAAGAACCAAAATTCGACCTCAACAAAACACACCAAAACTCGCAGCCCTCGCAGCGAGGAAAATCGAAAGTTGACCAAAATCAACTTTTGAAATGCGATGCAAGTTGGCTCGCATGCGAAAAACATGCAGACTCGCTTGTTACATAGTGGTGAGGGTCACTCAACATAGTGTTTTCTTAATTTTTAAAGAAACGAAAATCCCAAAACTCGCAACCCGCATGCGAGGTCCAGTGTGGGGCGGCCTTTAGTCAGGCCCAGTGCCCTAGCAATCTCACATGCCGCAGAACTAGACCTCCCAAAGAGCGTAATACATATAGTGTACACTGCACACCCATTCTTCGGTGAATGTTCAAACTAACTTCATAGCTCAACAAATTTCCACTATCAATTCCAAAGACCCCTTGCCCATAAAAAGGAAACGTTCGGCTGGACCCGGCAAAGTAGGTAGGAGCTAATGTGATTTTGATTTTAGTTTTCAAAAATAGTCCAGAACAAATGAGCACGACAACCTGAGGCCGGTCTATGGTTCCAGTCACCTCCAGGCTCCAGCCGTACCGCGCGAAAGCGCTCTGCAATCTGCATCAAATATCGCAAACAAGCATTCTTTTAGGTCTATAGTCTATACAAACTTACTCAGGTATAAAAATTGAGCTCATATCCATCCCAGTGCAAAACGTGCACAAGTACCTGAATTGAGCTATTGGTCTCAACTGGAACGGCACAAACACCAAACCCAGTCTGTACATGGTGAGGGATCGCAACAGTTTTCACCATCACCAATTAAAATCTGTCAAATCCAATCACTAATAGTCCCACGCCTGTTAAAGCGTCATGTCTTCATCCACTGATGTTCTGTCGATGTCCCACAGCCGCGCAATGTAAAACTCGTCACCCGCATGTCTTCTCACATCCTCTCCTCCCTCGGCCTGCTGGCTGGCCCCGGGCCGAGCGCTCCTATCAGCGCAGGCCGCAGAGCGCCGCCTGCCTTAAGTTTTACCAGTCGGGCGACACCGTCCAGCTCACGGCGGAGCCCGCCTGGGCCCGGGCCGCGAGGGAGCCGTCTTGTACCGCGGTGCCGCCCTGCCTGGCCCGGGGGGACGCCCTCGCTGAGGCGGCGGCCGCCCACCACCCTGCGGCGGCGGTCGTGGCCGTCCCTGGGGCGGCGGAGGCCTGCCCTGGGGCGGCGCAGGTCTTCCGTTCGGCGGTGGAGGCCTTCCCTGAGGCGGTTGGGGCCTCCTCTGGGGCGGCGGAGGCCGTGCTCCTCCGCGGACTGGCGGTGGCTCTTCCCGCATCCCGCCGACAAACGAGGCCCTCAGACTGCTGAGCGCCGCGCCGCCCCACTGCATGAACGAGGCGCGCAGGCCGCCCTGGCGCGGCGACAGCCTCTGCTGCTGCTCGTCGATGGGAGGCAGACGCAGCTGCAGCTGCTGCTGCTGCGGCTGCTGCTGCCGCTGCTGATAATACTGCTGCTGCTGGTGGTCCGGCTCGCGCGGGGGCGTCGGTCGCATCGGCCGCTCTGCCGACGGAGGACGGTGGGTATCCCCTGGAGCGGGAGACCAGCGCGAGGCCGAGCCGCTCTGCGGGGTCGCCGGAGCCAGAGAGTTCGAGACCTGGATCTCGGGTGTCGGCAGGCGGATGGCGGGTAGCGGCGGCGGCGGCGGTGCCCGCACCGGCGAGGGCTGGCGCGGCGGCTGGCTCGGCACGGGACTCTGCGGCGCAGGCAGCGGCAGCGGAGACGGCGGCGGGGTCTCCATCGATTCGTACGAGCTGGACGAGGCCAGGCTGAGCTCGTGTGACGAGTAGCCGCCGCGGTGTCCGCAGTGCCGGCCGGCGCACAGCGCCCGGGACACCACCCAAACAGCGATACTCAACATCATGCCGTTCACGAAACAGAACACAGCCGTCATCACCGTGTAGCCGATGTAATGGATGCTGGCGCCGCCTCTGTCGCGCGCGCCTGTTTTGCCACAATCGGGCACCTCCTGGAATGTAACGTTGAAAAAGATGTTGGCGATCATCTCAAACTTCTTTTGGTCCGGAGCGTGCATTTTCATGTAGCCCAGCGTGTGGCTGGTGCTGGCGTGAGACATGAACAACAGAGTTTCTTCGTTGAAGAAGTAATCTAAGCAGTAGGTGCGCCAACCCAGTGCCGAGTGCTTCAGCAACAAAGTGAAGTAAAGTTCACACCAATTGTGATAAATCGTATCCGGAACCTGTAAATGAAATGGCATAGTTGAAGCGGCACCAGTGAACGAATGAAGTGTGCGCAATGATTACGGAGCGAGCGAAGCGAGCGTAGTCTTTCCTTAGATTAACGGAAATTTCTGAGTATGAGCGGCCGGCCGGCCGTGGTCACGCTTTTGCGAGGCTTATATCTCAGCAACCACTTGACCGATTTACATGCGGTAATTTTTGTAGGGTAGCTTCATTCCTTCTACCAAGTATTGGGCTATTCCCGATGCATGTGCGTGACCCCTTATGCACGTGCCACGTGCAAAACGAAGAGGTGTCAGTTTTGTAATTGTTGCAATATCTCGGTAACTACTGGGCCGATTGCGCTCAAAGTTGGCATGTAGGTAGGCACTCACTAGGCAATGCATATCCATGTGCCAGAGTTGGGGTGCTGCTGCACGTGCGCACGTGCAGGGGTCGTTTCCAGATCTCGAGAACGGTTCGACCGATTGCGCTCAAATTTGGTACACAGCTAGGGACCGGTTAGTAGGGTGCCGTGCAAAAGTCAGTCGGGACCCATTTTGCACGTGCGCACGTGCAGGGTGCCGCTTCCAGATCTCGAGAACGGCTGGGCCGATTGTGCCCAAATTTGGCACATCGCTAGAGACCAGTTAGTAGGGTGCCGTGCACAAGTCAGTTGGAGGTACCCCCAAGCAATTTCGCACGTGCAAGGCCCACCCTCTCGCTCGCTCCGTTAGTCGCCCCAAAAGGCGTTATACTGGTTCATAACTTTGCAGCTCCTACTGGAGATTGGAGAATGTAAATGTTATTTCGAAAATTTAAAGATGCATGTTAACGTGCCAAAAAAGCAACTTCGATGGAACAGACAAACTCGATAAGCGAGGAGATAAATTGCGTGCGACCTCGTCAAGGTCGTGACCTCTCGACTCCCCAACTCGGTAAAACGGCAACCTACCGGCACCAGCACTCACCGGGCCCCAGGGGGCAATGCCCCACAGGTCACTGTTTTTCCTACTGCGCAGCGGGCGCAGTGAGCTGGTGTTGACCAGGATCAGCGGCCTCATACAGCCGGGCGGCATCAGCGTCAGGTCGCAGGCGTAGAACGAGCTGCCGTCGTACTGCAGGCCGATTTCGGCCAGTGTGAACGTAGACTGGCTGCGCAGCTTCACCGAGCAGTTGGAGCGCAGCGGGTCGCCCTCGGCCGGCCAGGTGCGCCTCGTGCACGTGTCGCCGCCGTACCCCGGCGGACACACGCACTTACAGAGCCGGTCGTGGAAGCCGCCGTTTGCACACGGCTCCTTGTCGGTACAATTCCACACCCGTTCGCAGTCGTAGGCGCGCACCAGGTCGCGATGATCGTAAAACGAGAAGCCCATGTCGCGCTGACGTTTGTAGTCGATAATCCACTGGTGGCTGACGGGTAAAGGGATGTGATTTAATATCGGTGGGGAGCGGAAGTGGCCCATGGGTGAACCCAAGATTACTTTACTACACCTATTGACAGCAAACAACAAGACATTCATCCAACACCAGTCATATACCCAACAACCGATTTGGACAATGCCTCTGCGGGACTACCTATAAAGTTTGAACGAGTTTCGTATTTGTAAAATTACAATAGTCAATAGCAAACGCGATGAACATAGCCACGCTGAAAGCATGCGTCATTCGCAATATCCGTACCGAATGTTTCGAACTGCCATCACCATGCCGTGCTCGATGGCCTGCATGTCTTCGATGGCGCCGTGGCGCAGCGTGCTCGCCGACGTGTCGAAGCCGGACACGGAGAACAGGTCGAGTGGCGACTCATCGTCCACGTAGTCCTCGCACTTGGCCGTTCGTCCCTGCGCGAACAGCAGTTGGTCGGAGCCCAGAGCAGTCACCATCACCTTGAACGTGCGGTCGCGGTCATTGCGCCGGTGTTCGGGCAGCAAACCCAGCAGGTGCGCGAAACTCTGCAGTCCCTCGTGGAATGGACAACCGGTAGTGGGCATGCGCAGGATCCGCGGCTGACCAGTCTGCTCGATGTTTTTGTCGTACCCAACCTCGTCGGTGTAGCAGGTGTGCCCCTTCCCATCAGCATATACGCAGATGCTAGGGTCATCAACGGAGAAAAAACAGTCATCCTTCACTCCCTTCTTTTCAAACTTAATGCATGTTTTATGAGAGATATAGAAAAAGATGCGACTGAGGAGAGTGCTATGTGGCTGGTCAAACCAAGAACTGGCTGCTGGATATACTGGGATAACGGGATATCCATCAATTCCCGCCGGCCACAGAGCTGACATTCTCATCCCTCCAGCGTTGCGTTTAGAATTTGTGAAAGGAGCCACATTCTCGTCATCCTCAGTTTCCTCCGGTCCGGATTCTGGTTCTTCCCCTCCGTGAGTTGTTGATTCATTGGCAATTATATCAGTTCGATTTGACGTTTTTGTTGGAACGATCGATATCAGCACGCATGCAATGCATATAACTGAATTAGCATACGAATTTCCGAGACCAAACATTTTAAAGCACTTTGAACACGCTCATACCCGGATGCAAAATTAAAGAGTAGAAATGAACAGAACAAGCCAGTTCAATGAGTCCTAGCAACGCAATAGACTGTGAAAAAGCGACAATGAAAAAAAATAGCAAAAAATGAATGATAAAAATTTAACAAAATTAAGCAGGATAGTAAACCCAAGGCCCGAAAGTACAGTAAATTGACCTTGAATAGGACATTGCCCACAGTCTCGTTTTTAATGCAACACTCTTCTTCTTCGGCCATGCGCATCTGCTGTACAGGCTCCTGCAATTATATTATAAACGATCTAGAGGCGTCGTGATCAAATTTAGGTCAAAATTTCGAAAGGTACCTATTCACGGCATCTTAGCTACTTCGCTTCGCCTAGTCTTTTTGGTCATGTCGTGCACAAAAAAGGAACAATTTTTTTACATGAAATGCAAAATGAGCAATAACAGATCAATAACATTAAAGCAATAATCATCTCAAGGGGAAAAATAAGATTTTTACTTCAGCTATAGATATTCAACATTTCATCGCCTTCCAACGACCTTGACCATAACCGAGCTGCAACGAAAAAAAAAATGATGAAAGCAATCAAATCACGTCAAGCAAAATGAAATGATAACAGATAGTAAGGGCGAAATGTAAATACATATATAGCGGGGTCGTACGTACCCCCCCCCCTCAGTTTTTCGCGAACAAGTCGCGTAAAAAGCGGCTGATCGCGGCGAAAGTTTCAGTACCCTCGGATCGATCAATTTTACACCTACCCTGAAAATTTCATGACCCTGACCAAAATGACCTTTGACCTACCTACGACATAATTCTCGAGACCATGCTTGGTCGGAATAGAGATTCGGTGTACAGGGTGTCCCATAAGTTCGTTCTCACTTTAAATTTGCATGTAAAACCGAGTACATTGCGTTATGATATACTTATGACACGTCAATGTGCTCCTCATTTCATGGACAAACACAAGAATACATGCTGCGGCATGCCAACCGGCATATTTCGCAGCGTGACAGGCCCATACTGTTTTAACATTCGCCGTCCGTTGGACCCCCTTGCCGTTGGACCCCCGGTCCGTTGGACCCCCTTGCCGTTTCGCCCCTGATCGAGCTAGAGCTTCGCAGAAAAAAAAACGAGCGTGTTGCCCGTGACGCGAGGAAGCCAATGATACCCAATTTTAAGGTCCTAGGTCATCGGTTGACCTTCTAGGTCAGGTCAATGACCCAAAAGTCGGGAAAATCGGGACCTGTTAGAAAGTCGTAAAGCGTGGCTGCTATGGGGTTTTTCGGGGTGCTGATCACGATTATCATGTTAGTTTTGATCACAGATGATGTCGTCATGCATTTAGGCCAGGCCAGGTCGGGTCAGGTCAGGTCAGGTCAGGTCAACCAGTAAGGGTATTCATAGTAGGTGGCAACCGCCTCTGACAGCTTCGTAACATGTTACGAAGGCACCAAAACTACATCGTAAATGTTCAAATGGTTGCTAAATTCAATTGAGCTCCGAAAACCAGCCTAGAAACATGTAAAACTCGAAAAAGTGAACCGAGGTCATCAAAGGTCAATGACCTGACCTGTCCTTCCCGTGACCTTGACCCTAATGCATGGGAGCAACATCATATTTCATGTGCGAACGCTTAAAACCACGAAAAGTCTGCAAACGCGCGGCTAATGCGAGCCCACATACGCCGAATCGCGATTCCGGACAAACATGGTCTCGAAAAGTAGGTCACAGGTCAAAGGTCATTAGGGTCAGGGTCATGAAATTTTCAGGGTACCTAGGTGTAAAATTGATTAACGCGAGGGTACTGAAAGTTTCGTCGCGATCGGCCGTTTTTTTACGCGAGTTATTCGCGAAAAACCGAGGGGGTCCGTTCGACCCCCCAATACGGGCGAGGGTTAAGGTGGAAATCCCATGCATTAAGGTGGACGTCAAGGTCACCTGAAGGTCTGATCAGGTCATTGACCTTTGATGACCTCGGTTCACTTTTTCGAGTTTTACATGTATCTATGCTAGTTTTTGGAGCTGATTTCGAATTTGGCAACCATTTGAACATTTCCGAAGTAGTTTTCGTGCCTTCGTAATATGTAACGAAGCTGTCAGAGGCAGGGCTGTGCTCGACTAAAAAATAAAAAAAAATGCCGATTCGACTTATCATTGAACTTCAGAAAGCCCTGACTCAACTCTGACTCAACAAGGAGCTGATTTTTCCCTCAACTCGACTCATGACTCAAGCGGCTCAATGAAAATATGAGTCGACTCAAAGTTCAAACTTAACTCGATTTTTTTTTTGTTGAGTCAAGTGAGTTGACTCAAAATTGACTCAGATAAAAAGTTGTTGAGTGGGGTTGGGGGGGACTCGACTCAAATATGACTCATTTGAGTCAGAGTTGAGTCAAATTTCTGACTCGACTTATGAGTCAAGCACAACCCTGGTCAGAGGCAGCTGACTCGTACTACGAATACCCGGGAGAACCCCTACTGGTTGACCTGACCTGACCCAGCCTGGCCTAAATGCATGAAGACATCATCTGTGATCAAAACTAACATGATATTCGTGATCAGCACCCCGAAAACCCGACAGCACTTAACAACGTCCTACATGTGCCGATTTTCTCGACTTTCGGGTCATTGACCTGACCTGGAAGGTCAGGTCAATGACCTAGGTCCCTAAAGTTAGGTATCATCGGCATCCTCTCGTCACGGGCAACACGCTCATTCTTTCCACGAAGCTCTAGCTCGATCAGGGGCTAAACGGCAAGGGGGGGATCCAACGGACCCCTCCCCCCCTTACACGTTCGCGGCTGGCAAAACAACAACACGAGCGATAAGACTGGCGGAAGCCAAGTCCCATCTAGGAGATGCAATTCGCGTGCTCATGAATGAGGGGATCAGGGTAAAGCCAAAACTATCGCCTGCTATAATTACAATAATCATCCGTCGGATATTGACATAGCGTCATATGTAAACAACTGATGAGAACCTGCTATTCATTGTATGTATGTATGTATGTATGTATGTATGTATGTATGTATGTATGTATGAATTGTATGTATGTATTTACGATCGTGGGCGATCCACACATGGCGTGGCGATTACATATTTAAATTGAATATGCTATCGGCAAGAGTCAGTGCGGTTTCTCGGTTGAAAAAGACAGTGTTTGGTGCTGTTGTGCGACGCCAAAAAGCACACCCGGACTCTATAGGCATGCTCGGTCTATGCGTCTCCGCCGACATGTAGAAGGTGTTTTAACTTTCACACAACATTTAAAAGGGCTGAGCATGACCGTCTCCTTGGGACACAATGTGTGGTACGACAAATGCAATGCGTAGCGCTTCAGCTGAGCATTCATCTGCTTGTTTTGCTCGTTTTTAGCACTCTGTCGTGACGAATGTCTCAATCTAAAATTGTCTGTTATTTATTTTGCAAAAAGTGTGTGGTGCGAGACAACACTCCTTGGTAAAGCGAAAATGATAGCACCAACGTTGTATTGACTCAGTCTCCGGCCATGAAATGCGTTACGCTGTTATTGATGTTCCTGATCCCAGGTTACATAGTCAACAAAACGTGCAACACGTCTGAACGTTCCAATATTAACGATACTATCAAGCCAGCAGGTGTCGGGTTTGGCCGATGGGCAGCACCAATATCTCGCTTGCGGCTGGGGTGAGGAGATCGCACGTGTGATGGCAAAATAAGTCACCTTGAGATCCGGACGCAGTAGCTGTGGATGATCGCTACAACCGCAAGACTGCCTCCACCTACAGCCGGAACAAACGCAGAAACACGTTAGACACTGTCACACACCGCATCGGGTCAGCGATCAGTCGCACCAATTGACAAACCAGTGATTAATTAACAAGCTCCTGATAAAGCACATCATGGAACCAAAACGATTCTTCATTAAATCTAAAGTACCCGTGTTATCCCACATTGACCGTCACATGACTGCACCGATCACCTGCACCACAATCACCCACAGTGGACAGCAGTATTGTTGCCAGAATTCTCAGTCACAGCTGCAACAACCCCGGAGAGTTGGGGGGGGGGGGGCGTCAGTCTCACCCCGTCAGTCGCGGTCCGTCAGCCGGTAGCAGCTGTCACAGTACAGCCGCGGTGGCGCCGTCAGCCGTCCTCGTCATCAGTGCTCTGGTCCGACTTGCCCAGGTTCTGACTCTGCCGAATAGCAGAGCAGGCAGCGGTCAGTGGGTGAGTCACCCGGAACCACATAATGCACAAGACAACCAGCAGACACAAACAATGCATATTATTACTGAACTCACCAACCGAGCCAAGAGCTATGCGTCTGATCAAGTGCTCTAAATAACAAGAGGAATGGAAACATCGTCATCGTCAGTGATCTTCAAAAGCCCAGTAAATACTTTATTTCATTATCAAATAACATCCTGACGTGAGAGCCCCGTCAAATGTTTCCTGTACTGCTTTGGGCAGGATAACACGGCAAAATACCAAATGTTGTAAAGCCTGAGAGCGACGCTAATTCTGCAGACGCTGTGTGGCTGCAGCAGGTTGGCCTCCACCAAGGCTCTATAGAAGCCTCCACCATACCTTTTGCACGAGCTGTATGATGGCTGCAGTACCTTCTCTCTCCCCCCCCCCCAAACACACCAGTGACCAGATGTCCGCACATCTTGTAGGAGCTGTGTGATGCCACAGTAAATCCGACCCCCACCAGATGCCCGTACCTTCTGTAGGAGCTGTAAAATACCCTCACCCCCCTCCCCTCCCCCTCCCGGCAGTTATGAAGGTCCGTACCTTCTGCAGGAGTTGCAGAATGGCCGCCGTTCCGCCGCTCTCCGCCAGGTGGTGCACGTCGTAGGGCAGCTCGGCGTCGGCGTACGGCGCCCGCTGAATGCTGTCCGCTCCGGCGATGTACTGGAACACGGGCAGCGCGCCGCCGGCCGACGCACAGCCCAAGCACAGCGGACTGCCCGGCGACGGGGCGGACTCGCACCTGGGCGCATGGAAAAGCAGGGTCACAGCCAGGTCAGGGCGAGGTGACGATAAGGCACAGCAGCTCTTGGCACCGTCTCGAGAGGACATATCGAGCAACATAAGGTTACATCTAGGTTAGGGTGGAAAACTAACAAATCAGCTGTCGTGAGTGTTCGCCAGGATCGGCCAGTCTCTGGGGCAGCTGGACTATAGGAGAACGTAGCAGCAATGAGCAAACAACCACTCGAACTCTGCGCTTCGTGACATAACACTCCACACTGGGCAGCAGGAACTATGTACGAACACAAACCACTAATTGTGTGTGTCTTTCTCGTTCCGATTGGTGTCAGACCATACCTGAGGCAGTGTTTTCCTGTGAGCTGGTCCCAGGTGAAGAGGGCCGGGTCGGTGGGCGGCGCCAGAGGACTAAAGTCCACCAGTCGCACGTGGTCCTTCGTCGACCGGTACACATCAAACACGTCTGGAGCAGAGAAACGGAGGGATTAGCGCGAGAACGTCCGCTAAATGAAAGCATGGATATATAATGAATATGGCTGGGTAAATTAAAGCGAAGAGCTCGCAACAAGCAACAAGAAAATGCATGCACATTATCGCCTAGAAGTTCAATAAACGCCTAGAATAGGGTATCAAAAGTGATTACGGAGCGAGCGAAGCGAGCGTAGTCTTTCCTTAGATTAACGGAAATTTCTGAGTATGAGCGGCCGGCCGGCCGGCCGGCCGTGGTCACGCTTTTGCGAGGCTTATATCTCAGCAACCACTTGACCGATTTACATGCGGTAATTTTTGTAGGGTAGCTTCATTCCTTCTACCAAGTATTGCACTATTCCCGATGCATGTGGGTGACCCCTTATGTACGTGCCACGTGCAAAACGAAGAGGTGTCACTTTTGTAATTGTTGCAATATCTCGGTAACTACTGGGCCGATTGCGCTGAGAGTTGGCATGTAGGTAGGCACCCACTAGGCAATGCATATCCATGTGCCAGAGTTGGGGTGCTGTTGCACGTGCGCACGTGCAGGGGTCGTTTCCAGATCTCAGGAACGGCTGGACCGATTGCGCTCAAATTTGGTACATGGATAGGGACCGGTTAGAAGGGTGCCGTGCACAAGTCAGTTGGGACCCATTTTGCACGTGCGCACGTGCAGGGTACCGCTTCCAGATCTCGAGAACGGCTGGGCCGATTGTGCCCAAATTTGGCACATCGCTAGAGACCGGTTAGTAGGGTGCTGTGCACAAGTCAGTTGGAGGTACCCCCTCGCAATTTCGCACGTGCAAGGCCCACCCTCTCGCTCGCTCCGTTAGTCGCCCCAAAAGGCGTTATACTGGTATGATAGGTACAATTATTAGTTTTCCATGAATAATATCCGTGAATAATAGTTCAATAAAAAAACATATTGTGTCACACGTAGGTACTCACAGTTCTGCAGGGGAAACTTGGCCTGGATTTTCTCCTTGAAAAAACTGGTAATGTCTGTGATGATGCTGGACGAGTCCCGCTCCAAGTGCGGGAAGTACTGACTGATTTCCCGCTGAGATATCGCTGAAACAACAACAACAAACATATAACGTTTTATGTTCGCAAAAGTAATGCAGCAACATAAGGGTAAGTCTGAAAATTTCGCCCTTAAAATTCCGATACCTATTCAGAAACAATAAATTCATATGTTCAAACCGCTTATCTGTCAGACGTTAATCACTGACGCCAATAAGGTATCACAGTTCAGGCTACCGTCTGTCGGGTTCAGTGCGTACCGATGAGGTGTCCCTCAATGACGAAGCAGCGGAACTCTGCGGCGGGGTTGATGTCCTCCCAACGGCGCACCACCAGGTGCAGGTCGGCAGAGGCGGCGCCGGCGTCTGCGCAGCCCTGCACAGGGGTAACATGACGAGAGAGAGACGGTCAGTAGGGAGCGAGGGCAGGAAACGTCGCTATGCAACTCGTGCGTGTAATTAGCATGTCACTGAGATTATCTCGAACCAGAAGGACGACTTAATATAATGATAAGCCTTTGCTACACAATCACCTTCCACTTCTCTCCTGTCATAAACACATTCTTTTGTCGAATCCTGACTGCCCCCTACCCACCTAACTGATAAAGTTCAAGAATCCAAATATACACAGTTAACACGCTGGAGGCTATCCTCTCACCTCGAACGGCGTGCACAGGTCGCGCTGCAGTCGGCCAGAGCTGCGCAGCAGCAGATGCACGTCCTCTGGACTCTGACAGCGCAGCGCGCGGCCCACCGACAGCCAGCGCACGTCGGCCGGCGCCGACCAGTTGAGCTTGACGAAGGCCGCGCCGCCCACGGCCGCCACGGCCGAGCGCAACTCGGCGTCGAACGGCGCGAACTCGGGACGCTGACGGTGGGAGGGGCGGCGGTGGATAAACGGGATCGTGATTTTCATCGAGACCGAAACGAGACAGAGATAATATGTGGCATAATGCTAAAAGTGCGTATGCTTGTTAGGGAAACAGGTGGTATAATTGCAGCAAAAACAAACTCAGAGCATTATTACAGGCAACATCACAGTTCAAAATAATTGTATGTCAATCTTTCATCTTCACCTATCCAACTTTCTGACAACTCAATCCATCATCCCCTTCCCCGTGTCCGGATCCCCTCCCCTCCCATCCCGGGCCCACCTCATCCCCTTCCGTGCGTACCTGCAGTTCGTCGGCGCCCTCCTCGGCGGCCTCCCAGTCGACCGAGTCCTCCTCGTCGTCCGTGTTGGTGTCGGCCGTCGTCGCCTCGCTGGAGACCACCGTACCGCCGCTCCGGATGTAGGCGGCCACTTCGGCCGGCACCGGGACCCACACACTGAGTGGAGGAGAACAACACAATGTGACATCAACTCAGCCACCTCCACCTTGGCAATGCAACGATATGCACACACTGAGAGCAGAGGGACTGTGTGACATCACCTCAGCTCCACTAGCCAACAGCCACCTCATATGGCAATGAAACGTGCACACTGAGTGAAGGGGGAACACAGCAAAGGAGCATGAAATCTCCTCAGTTGGGTAACCCCATGGCCACCTCTACTAACATTTTTTAAAACACATGCTTGATGTTGCAAAAAAAAAAAAACACACACAGGCAATAATATGTGAGGACACTGTCTGATATCTTACCTTTTTGTGGTGACTTTTTCAAAAAGTGGGTACCAGCTGCTGAAGGAGCATGCCAGAACATCAGACACTTTTCTTGTGAACTCCATCATTCTGGTCAGATCATTAGCAAACAATTATTTTGGCCTTTACCAAGTCTTAATAGTCACATAGATCTGTAAAAAAGGCACAATATAGGACTATAGGTACACTATCTAATCAGTCATCAAAAAAGACACTGGACCCTGAGTCCCTGCCCCCTGGGCCTAACTTTTGTTAGGAAAGATAGCCAAGCATGGCAATATCGATCCATTTTTTTAGAGCAGACTGCACGCAGGATCTCAGCAAGTGTGATTTTGTGTGTAGGGAGCTGGCCCCAGGGCCCAAGCCGGTTTATATAGCCTTGCCCAAGCCCTAGGGTGCTAGCATATAAATATATGGCTCTATCCAGCCAAGACAGTAATGAGACTGAGAGACACAACAGAGTTAGCCAGAGCCCAGCCTGACCTAACTATGTTGGTGGCATCCAGAAATAACAGTAATAGTTGGGCTGTAGGTCGTAGGAAGACCACCATGTGTATTGTGCAAATTTGCTCAGAAATAGGATAGTTGTGCACCTATAACAAAAAAGAAATTGCAAATTGTTCACCAGCCAAAACAGTCAACTGCTAGTATTTTTTATGTCTATGGCCTCTCACAAGTCACAAGTTTAACCAGCCATGTGGAAAAAATGACCAGCAATGTGAAAACTTTGGCAGCCATCAGGCCTTGGTTAGTCCGGATGACTTCATTTTTCGGAGCAGCTGTTATTTGTTTCACATTGCTGGCAAAATTCAGGCCTAGAAGCCAATGCATATTCACAATGGGTCACTTTTATGCTGGTCAGGCTATGGTGCATTTGGAGTGGCACATTCCACATGGAATCCGTGGAATATTCCATACGCACGGAATATTCCATTTCCAGGAGATTGGCCATTCAGAGATACGCCTACGAATATGGCACGGCAAATATTCCAGAATCAGAATATTCCATGCTCTCCGAACGCACCACTAGCCTCAGAACCTGTTATTCACAATTGGAGCAGGCTGCAAATGCAATCAGGCATCAGCAATTTGATGTTTTTATGTATTTATTTTCATTTTTAGAGCAGGCACAAGACAAAGACTGAAACTAAAACAATAAAAGTCTTTGTCTTGAAAGCTTCAGGTGCTAATTGTGACACAAAACAAGACACACATTTTTTCGAATTTTCACAGCTTCAAAAGCCTCACCCTAAAGCATTAAAGAGATCCGATTTTATTTCATGCTCAGTGTAAGTGGTCAGTCACACAGCTCAAGCCACGCACAAAGCGAGCGCCGAGTTCAAGTTCTGGCTCTATTATAACTCTTTCAATCCGAAAAAAATACAATCAAATTCATTAAAATAACTATGATATATACTAAGGATATCAAAATATGTCCTCAATGAGCCCGGAAACATAACTCCAAACACCGCAATTTACATGCCACAGGATATTGATATCAATATGATTACAAATTTACATCCAAGTTTACATCAGCCCCATCAGCCACATGGCTCGAGATCCTTGCAAAAAACAGCTCACATCTGTTCAAGAAGAGCATGTACAATGCGCGTCACCTAGCAACAGCCGATTCAATTGCGCTTCCAGCATGTGGTTGCTATGCAACTTGCATGCTTTGATAAAATAGAATAGAATGATGAACTTTAAATGTAGCAAAAGCGCCACTTGCCTTTCGCTCAGCACTACCAATTTATTATTTGGGGCTGTGTATATGTGCTTGCTCAGCCTACACATGTTATCTCGATTCGACCAGAGCCCTGAGGGGTGTTCACGGGCACCGCACACTGCTGCGTGCGCTGTGTGCGGTGCGTCCAGCAGGCGTGGGGGTAGGGGATGGGTAGGCGGCTCTGACGTCACGGCTGCGTGCGGTGGACGGTCCGCTGTGGCCAGTCCCGACCGGCCACAGCGATCGCTGTGTGCGGTGACGGAAGGCTGACGTAGGGACGAAGTGGGCGGAGCTTCGAGGCTGTGTGCGGTCCGACCGCACACAGGGCCCGTGAACAGCCCTCTGATCGGCGGCCGGCTAGTACTCTTGCCCGCGCTCACATACGTGCACGTTACCCCGGCAACGGGCTATTGACCAATGAGAAGCGAGAAAAGTGTTACGTCACTGCGATTTTTCATATACGTGTGCCCCCCGGACGTGACGTAGTGTGCTCGCGCGCGTGCAGGGTCTCTGCGATCGAAAAAGAGCGCTAGCAGCGCGCCACTCAACGCCGCAATTGTCAAAAACGGCGTGTTAGTATGCTTTATTATGAATGATGTGTGTAAAAGTGAGTTTTTATGTTGTTTATTTGGAGGAAATGGTTGGAATAAAATAAGTTATTTTTATTTCTATTGGTTGGAGTTTTTATTCAAAAGATTTCGGTCTATAGTATTGATATTTACGGAAAATACCTTCGTTTGAATAAATTGCAGATATTTGGCAACTTAAGTGTTAGGTAAGCCTAAATGATGCGTGAAAAGGTAAGAGAAACCCTGATTATCATTTGAGAAACGAAACTATATGAATTTCCCTTATAAGACTCGCTCAATATGCTACTCCGCGGTTTATGCCCCGAGGGTGTCGGAGGGTTCCCGTTAGTTTGTCGCTGGCGCTCGGCTCGCGCGCGAGCCGACGTCATCGCCCGTGACGTCGGCTCGCGGAATGCGTCATACCCTGCACACAAAATAGCCGGCTGCCGAACAGCGCCCAGTTTGCTGTTATATTGAATTTAAAGTGCATTCAGCCATTCATTCATGCTCGGCGAACCGGGCCTGCCGGCTGACACCTGGGTGACGTGTAGGACGTACAGTGTCGGTGACAGCACACCCACTCCGCCCGGGCGTATGAACGAGAGATCACAAAATAAAAGACGTCGGACCTCGATACTATATTATGTCTTGACTTAAACACGCCGACTCGCACAGTATCTGGAATTTCATGCGCCGCACCACACAGGCTCGCAGCAGCAAAAGTAACAAAGACAAGACTGGCGACGTCGACACTCGCGATCCCGCACAATAAATCGCATACATCGAGCCACAATTAGCCGTACGATTGGGTCTATGCCCGCTTGCATGCGGGCCACTCGAGCCCAACGACCTATTTGTCCATCGGAGGGTAAGTTTGTAATATGGACGCTTCGCGCGGCTGGCAGCGGGACGTCGGCCCGTCAGCCGTCTTATCTATATTTCTACATTCAGATCAGCGCGGCCCGACGCAGCGGACCGGCGCAAACATCGGTGCCACCCGGCAGCGTAAAGCCGATGGACGCGTAAATCAGCCGTCGGCGGGCGGTGTGATCACCCGCCCGACGGCCGTGTAAGAATAAATAAGCATGCACATGAAACACTGGGCTGGCAATGCGGGCGAGCGGTCGGCGCACGGCTGAGGCAGGGTGGGCAGACAGAGTCAGGCGTGGCACGCCGACACAGAATATGCAGACATAACACGATGAAAAACGGGCAGAGGAGGGGGCGTGGTGTCCCGTCCCTCGCCGCCGATACGCGGCCGGCTCACACGTACACAGAAATACAGCAGGAACTGGAGGGATACAGACATCAGCGCTCGCCCGCGCACGGCCAGCCAAAGGTACAAACAGGTCCCAGTCACACCGGACGCGCGGCCGAGACTGTGGAAATATCATAATCGCATCGTAACAACTCGGGCGGCTGCTCGGCTGGCGCGCGGCTGCTGGGGACGTCCAGTGACCCACGGCCGGGTCGGTCACACAGGACACGTAGATCAGCCGCTGGTCAGACAGCCGGCCAGTGCCCGCAGACAGCCGGACCCGCCGACCGCCCACCGCGCCACTACAAATAGGGCGCGTCTCGCAGACTGGCGCGTCGGAGCCGCTCGCGGGCGGCGGCCAGCGCCACGCGCCGGCGGCCGTGCGTGCCGGCGCCGGCCGGGATCTCCCTGGGTCAGTCATTGAGCATGTAGACGAACGACATGGGGAACATGCCGCGCCGGTGCGGCTCCGACTCGATACAGCCCTCCATCCAGTCCTCGTCACTGGTGCTCTCCGCCAGAATGACGATTATCTGAGGGGAGAACCGGGATAGACCATCAGCGGGGAGATGGGGGACGTAAATATAAAAATGACGATTCTTTGAGGACACACTGGCAAAGATCGTCAGCTGTGCAAGGACAGGGGAACCGTTACACGATACTGACCAGTATAGCGCCTTTTGGGGCGACTAACGGAGCGAGCGAGGGGGTGAGTCTTGCACGTGCGAAATTTCGAGGGGGTACCTCCAACTGACTTGTGCACGGCACCCTACTGACCGGTTTCTAGCGATGTGCCAAATTTGAGCACAATCGGCCCAGCCGTTCTCGAGATCTGGGAGCGGCACCCTGCACGTGCGCACGTGCAAAATGGGTCCCAACTGACTTGTGCACGGCACCCTACTAACTGGTCCCTAACCGTGTACCAAATTTGAGCGCCATCGGTCCAGCCGTTCTCGAGATCTGGAAACGACCCCTGCACGTGCGCACGTGCAGCAGCACCCCAACTCTGGCACATGGATATGCAGTGCCTAGTGGGTGTCTACCTACATGCCAACTTTGAGCGCAATCGGCCAAGTAGTTACCGAGATATTGCAACAATTGCAAAACTGACACCTCTTCGTTTTGCACGTGGCACGTGCATAAGGGGTCACCCACATGCATCGGGAATAGTCCAATACTTGGTAGAAGGAATGAAGCTACCCTACAAAAATTACCCCATGTAAATCGGTCAAGTGGTTGCTGAGATATAAACCTCGCAAAAGCGTCCGCACGGCCGGCCGGCCGGCCGGCCGCTCATACTCAGAAATTTCCGTTAATCTAAGGAAAGACTCCGCTCGCTTCGCTCGCTCCGTAATCACAGCTTAATGCACAAAAGAGGATGGAAATATGGATTCCTTGGCAGGCTGCTACAGACAACCCCTTTCCAACGGATCTGTCATTTGTTTGTGTTTGTGTCCATCCAGCAAGTCACTCTACCACCACCTTGGTCTCCCCTTCTTTCGCTCTCCCCTTCCCTATCTCTCACCTCGCCCTCTGAGAAGGTGAGCTCGTCGTCATTATCGGCGTCGCAGTCGTACATGGCGCAGCAGCGGCGCACGGGCCGGTACGACTCGGCCCGCTGCCGGCGCGGCCGGCCCACCTCACCCGTCTCGGACACCACGCTGCACAGACTCTCCGTGGAGCGGCCGTTGGCGAGCCGCAGCGGGCCGCCGGCGGCTGGCGCACCCGCGGGGGCCGGCGGGGGTGGCGCGCGCGGCCGCTGCAGGCCGCCGATCGGCCGCACACCGCCCACTAGCGGCACGGAGACTGGTCAGAAGAGGAAGTGGGTATACGACGCTATATGAACAGGCGCCTGGCTTTCGAATACGATGCTTACTTTATGCTAGTGTGCACAGCAATCACTTGGAAATCCATATTCGCATGTCCATGATCTGCAATCGCAGCTGTTGACGGCGGTTGACGCACCTCAGACTGGCCAGACTAGGCGGTCCCCTCTCTCGGATCCACTCCACTCACCGGGCCTCGGCCGTTTGGAGTGCGCCGGCCGGCGGGCAGCGTCCGTTCGCCGGGACGTGCTGGGACTGGAACGTAGGCTGTCGGTCGACGAACGAATCTGGTGGACAGATCGGACACAGGTGAGATGACAGACAGACATACTGACGTACGGTTGGTAATGAACGAGTGACAGTGGTTAATTAATAATTGAAAAGCAATGATGTAACCAATCGAAAAAAAATAGTGCAAGCAGGCCATGGCCCAAGAGCCAATCGTGCTGGGCTCCCTACCTGGTGCCTGTCCCTGTCTCCCTATCTGGTATCTGCCCTGTCACCCTACCTGGTGCCTGACCCTGTCTCCCTATCTGGTATCTGTCCCTCTGTCTCCCTACCTGGTGCCTGTCCCTGTCCTCCACGACAGTAGTCTCGTCGTCGGAGAAGTCGGTGCTGCCGTCGTCGTAGTTGCTCAGGTTCCAACTGTCGACACTGACGTTCTCAAACACAGACTTCTTACCGGCCAGCGCGTGCTCCAGCTGAGGACGGAGACAGCAAAGGGTCAGCAAGGTCAAGATCACAGCACCTGAGGTCAGCACGAGGGTCCCAGTAATATTGCCGGCACGGCCTCGCCTCATCCCGCCCTGCCTGCCTCCCTCGCCGCTCACCCATTCTGTGCGAAGGTCTCCCCTCCCTGCCTCCGGCCATCCTAACCCCCAGTAGAAGACACAGCGACACACACCCTCCCGTCCCTCCCCCTGGTCCCGGTCATCCTTTTTTGTTAGTAAGCTCCCTGCACACTACAACACACATCCTCCCTGGCCCCACCTTGCCTCCCGCCACGCTCACCAGCTCCTTGCAGAGGGCGTAGCCGCGCTCGCCGGCGATATCCCGGGGCGTTTTGCCGTTGTTGTTGACCTGGCGCGGGTCGGCACCGGCCCTCAGCAGCAGTTTCATACACTCTGGCCGGTTGTAGATGGCGCAGTAGTGTAGCGCCGTG